TTAAGCTTAGCTGGCACCCCCACTCCGACGCGATCAACACCTATTAATGCCCACCCTGGCGGTCAAGAACCTCGCCCCGGGAGAGCCTCGCCCCGGGTGGGACTGGCAGGGGATGAACAGCTACCTCGTAACGAGCGATCCACATAGGTCACATCATACAATCTCCCAGCTGTCAGCTTTGACATGGGTTCCTGACTCCTGCCGTACTCGAGTAAAGAGTAAGGCAGAGTACGGCGCTTCACCGTGGGGAGAAACGCCACAATACCGGGCGGTACGGTTTCTGCTTTCCAGGTTGGTTTTTATGGGAGATTCGGGCTTCTAAAGTTCCCCGGTACTGAACCGGAGCAGGGGGTAAATGCTCGTGGTATCTGTAGAGATCTCTATAGTCCGATCTTTCTTTTTCTACCGTAAGTTGATGGTGGACTGGGAGTATCTGGATGATAGGTGATACCATGTTTCCCTTTGGAGGTGGGTTGCGAAGTAAACATCCAACCCGGAGAGTTGAATACTAGAATATCAAACAAGCATTAGTCTAGGTGGCCTCTAACTATCCGTAGGTAATATACGAACCCCTTCGAAAGTTCGTCCAGCCCGCAGTTATGATAAGCCTGCATCCTTTTCTCCCTCTCCTTCCCATCGTCGATGGTATCCTGCCGCTACCTCCAATCTTAGCAAACTATCTCGGCACTACCAGTGAAACCAGCACCGGTATCCAAAGTTAAAAAGCAGAAAAAACATCTCGTGTTGGACCGGGAAGCGGATCGGACGGAGAACTGAATCTGTTAGAATGCACCAAAAAATTAGAAATCCGAAAATCTCAATTGACGCCCAGCACTGGTAAGACGAGATACAAAGGTGTAGGAGGTATCCATAGTATCGTAAAAGATTTTATGCTATATTTACACTTTTTTTGAGCCGAATTCGGAGGTTTGATTTTGCCGAAATTTTCCACAGTGAGGATTTTCAGCAAAACCTACATACAAAGTGATTCACTCCTGCACCCAGCCCACTTTCCTGCCTATTAATACGTTAATTTACTTTATTGTTTCATGTAAGCTTGACGCACGCAAAAATAGTTACTTTACCATTACTTTACCTCGCCATACAACGTTTTCCCTTCAATTAGATGCGGAAGCTGAGAGGTCCTGTGCAGCTCTACTTAGACCATCAGAACTCCACCAGAACCTAGGAATGATATATGATGCCAAAAGGGACTCTTAAAAAAATCAGAAGAAAATATTTAAAATATTATATAGCACACACACTTCAAAAATAATCATCCACTTTCTTTGGGAAATATATCTTCACTCTGACTCTCCGTTAATGAACACCGAGTTTTTACAATATCTATACAATCAATTCCAGCCTCTGCACTTTGCCTCCGGTTACCCCGGCGAATTCGAGCCTGGTATCACTGCAGCGTAACCTTATACACCGTCCCGCGTTACCCGGTACTGAAAAATCATCCTTCCAACCCCGGATAATACCACTAACGAGGGATGCTCGAGTATCGATTCAAGGTTGCAGAAACCTCCGCTATCCATTGGGCACTTTTGGTGATCACGCTGGACTCCCAAGGCCCCACTACTCGAATACGGTAGTCGCGTCTGGCCCACTTCTTCCAACACTTTACCATACTTCTAGCGTTTACTTTAATCTCTCTTGTCGTTCCCGTTCACCCTCCAGAAAGTCAACTCACCGAAGCACTTTCCTCTGCTCCGCACCCATCTTGATTCCGGGGTTCCCCGATAATTTTATACGCGGGCAAAGGCCCTCACTGAAAACATGAGCGATCCTGCTCCCAGATCGTACCGTGACCCCTTTCCACAATAGGAAGTCCCACCAGACGGGCCCCAGCGCCATTCAAACAGGAGATCCGTAGCTCACGAACCCACGAGCTAGAGGGACGTGCTGTCGTGCCAGTAGTAGTATCAGTGGCTTGCAAGATGGCTCAGTGGTTCAGAGAGAGTCGGTGCAGTCGAGCTGTAGAGTACTAGAAAGGGGCCAACACTAGCGTTGAAAATTTTCAAGCCAACAGCATCCCGCACTTTGGGACTCCAACTAATGTAGGAGGACGACGAACAATGCACCAGAAAACACCTGTGAAAAACGTCAAATTCGGTAGGACTTGTTGGCCTTCCCCTCCGCCATGTTTTCCCCTCTCAGAATTAGTCCCTTGTCCAAGGATTTTGTCAAACCAGCAGTGAAATTGCGGTATCGCACGGAGTGAACCAAGAAGTGCCACCATATATTGCAGTGAACCCCTTCGAACCGCAGTATCATGCATATCCCATATTTGAGAAGAGTGGTGGAACTCCCTATTCACCTTCAGACGGTTCGCTCACAGAAGGGTTCCCCCCATTTCACACGCTTGTCTCGATTCGGGGATTTCCCGATGCCTGTATATGCGCGAGCGGAGGACCTCACTTAAAGTATCAGTGTCCTTGCTTTTCACTCCGCAATAGTACAAGTACTGTCTGTGCCCTTTTTCACAATATCGGAGTACTCGAGTAAATTTATTTCGAGTGATATTTGGTGACTTGGCACTAGTGTGACAGTCCCCCCCTGCGCCGTGCACTCACGTCGGCAGAGTCGTTATTGTGACACCTCTGGCACTCTTCTAACCCAAACCTTAACCAGCAAGTGAGAGCTTTGTAGAAATAGATCTACCTAACCCGCAACAAAGCATACGATGATGGATCAGCTATGATACGAGCTTTGCCCAATTTTACAAACAATTGGTCCACCAAACTACTCGAGTAATTACCAGATGGCAGGTAGTATCGCTATTAGATTGATCCCTAGTAGAGAGTAATGGGCATTACTAACGCTGCCAAAAGTCATATATCGCCTCACAGTATATACGAAAGAGGGAGGTCCGAACGGAATAACGACCCACCCCAATACCCCCCAAGGCTGAGATCCTTACTATCATGCCAAAACTGGATTGCCACTAGTCTACAGCCGCGAGACCTTGCGTCACGTTGGGAGAGGGGCCGGTGTTTCCCATGGCGATGGCAGGCACGCAGCACAAAGGTAACTGGTCTACCTTCGCTGCTCTTCGCACCATATCAAGGTCAACGAAGTCTGCACCTGTGTTTTGTTAAAATCTTACTGCCCACCCGGATCTCTCCCATGATGTTACGGTCTTATCCTCCCATATCGACCCCTAGCCTCCTCCCAATTCCCCTCGTCATGCTTACTGTCAACTTGTCACGCACCAGCTACGATACTTACACCTCCGGCTCGGGCATTAGAGCAAGATAGAATGGGTGCTTTGGGAAGATAGATTTCCATCTAACCCGTGGTAAAAAAAAAAACAATACCGCAACCGTCCCAAATTCCCCTCGAGCCTAAAAAGAGAAAATAGGAAAATCATGTGTGATCACTCGTTTTCGGGGACTTTAGCAAGTGGGGGGCAACGCACCCCCATACCAACCCACCTCACTCATAGCAATTCTCCCGTTATTCACATACTCTTTATCGGCGCAAGCTATGGGTTTCTCGACGGTCTTCAACCACCCCCGTGCTTGGTCATCGCTTTGGTCGATGCTTCCACAGCTGTGCATGTTACCTCGCGATCAATCCAGTCCCTGCCAGTTTCGGGCTAGCGCAGCTGCAGGGTTTGTAGGAAAATGGTGTGTGGGAGTTTGGTGAGATCGTACAGTATACTGCTTTTTCATCGGGGCCTGATGTGGTCAAGGTATGATATGATACTGTACCGACCGTACATTCTAATGTCCTGTTTGGTACGCCATTATTGAACTTGGATTTGGACTTAAAGTCCGGGCTTGAAAACCAAAGTCTAGAAACTTTAAAGTCCAGACTTTGGAGGTTGGCCATATATCATAACACCAAACATGTAAGGGTTTTGTCATAGAATAGTAATAATTTGTATATGATATCTGATGTAAATCTCTCAAGAAGACAGCAATGGAGGAGCCAATGGTTTTATGATAATATGAGAAGAATAAACAAAATAGGCTTATCGGTCGTTAGGGTTGGATTTCTGTGACTTACGGTATGATATGATACCATAGTTTTTCCGAGAAAGCCTAGACCCAAAATCCTGATCCAATCCCGAAAAGAAAAACCTAGTCTATCATAATCCTGGCATACCAAACAGGACACAAGTGTATTGTGTGGGATTCGGTCCAGGGCAACCTATGGCACCCCGATCCCCCGGTCTTTGGTCCTTGGGAAAAGCTCCATTGCGCTACACTTTTCCCACGATACAGCCCGCTCTTCCGCATTTCCATGCCAGTGTCGAGCGAGGGGTCTTCAGCATGCATATACGAGTATCTGTTGTGTTGAATTGTTTAGCCTTTTCTCCCCTTGGACTTGCTTGAGGTTCTATGGGATATCATTTACCCACTACTTCTCTTTCTACCTTGTCTATATTGCAATTCGAGGAGTGGATATTTGGTATGATACTTGACATACACGGTAATCTATGAATGGCTGATACGTTGGGGCATTGTGTGATGATGTGGCGGCAGCGAGCCGTCCAGTAAATTTACCGTACGATATGATGCTACCGGTATGGCTACAGTATTATGATATTCCTATAAAGCTACACGTGTATATACCACCAAGGCCCGGACAAAGAAAAAAAGTACTATTATCGAACAAAGAACGCCAGAGATCAACCCCCACCAGCATTTTCTGGCGATCTTACACAAGTGTGAAAACATAAATTAGACTACCTATGGGATGAATAACCCCCGCAACCTCTGTTAGCCTTCGAGAAGACAGGGTTAGGGCTAAAACGATCAATTTATCCCGCTCCCAAATATGACTCCGACCGCAAATCTCATTTCCTCTTGCAAGTTGCAACCGAACTTGACAAGCACAGCATCATTCAACAGGAGAGAGAGCACCACACACACACACGATACCACAACCCGAAATCTACGACACCGAGCCCACATAGTTTATTCCTCCCACACCTACACCTACCCCCTCTTGCCCCGGTGCACACGCATGGCAAACCCACTATAATGCCGGCTCCCTCCCTCAACCTGCAAATACCCTCCTACCTCGACGCCTACCTCCTCGATGCAAGAGTCTACTTACCCGCAAGCTACACCGCCCCAACGACCCAACACTGGCACCGAAAGTTAGCCATAATCGGACATCCATACGCACCGTTGGGTGGGAGCTACGACGATCACGTAGTGCTGGAGGTTGTAAAGACACTATTGAGAGCAGGCTGGGTAGTTTCTACCTTCAATTTTCGGTACGACTTGAAATAAAATAAAAACGGGGAAGAAAAAGAAAAAGAAAGACGCTTCCGATGTAATGGGGGGTTAAGGCAGAAAGACAGGTGGGAGGCTAATCGGTGACTATTATAGAGGAGCACACGGAAAAGGGCGAACGTCATGGACAGGAAAACTCGAAGTTAAAGACTTCGTCTCGGTCGTGGTGTGGTGTTTGGCCTACGTGCAGCTATTACCACCGCCGGTGATTCTTGCACCGGCTTCTTCACCAAGGCTTAGCGCGCCGGCGTCACCGTTGCGCGGGTTTCCGGAGGGGAAGGAAGTGGTGGTGGAGAAAGCCGAGGAGCAGGGTGAGGAGGAAGAAATGGAACTACTAATAGGCGGATACTCGTACGGGTCGCTGATTGCCAGTCTGACACCTCCAGTCTTGGATATACTGAAACTACTGGAGGCGCCGCCTCCTTGTACGCCCGCGTTCGCTAAAGCGCTTCTCACGGCGAAAGAGAGTGCGCGCAAGTGGCTGGATACACATTCCAACACCCGAACCTCTTACAGCGGAACTTTCAACCGCGCCGCCGTTCACGCCGCTATCCAGCGGGAGGAGAATAGAAAACTGGAATGCGAACAAGTGCATCATGGCATCGACAAGAAGTGGAAAGTCACTGCTCGATATCTACTCGTGTCTCCCTTACTCCCGCCCATAAGTAGTCTTATGATGGGTTTCCCGGGGGTGAAGGCCTGGAGCCTCGGTCGCGGAAGTGTGGACGAGGGGGAGAAGGGTATCGAGGCTGTGGATGCTAGAGTGTTGGCGGTTTACGGAGATGGGGATACATTCACGGGCGTTCGGAAGTACAGGAAGTGGAGGGAGAAGATGGAGGGCGAGAGGTGGAAGGGTGTGGAGGTGGGGGGTGCAGGACACTTTTGGCGCGAGGAGGGTGTTATGGGGGTTTTGGTTGGTGAGGTGGAGGAGTGGGTGAGGGGGTAGAGGTTCTCTTGCGGCATCGATTGATTGGGCGGTGGGTGTGGGTGGTGTTGTATGGTTTTATGCGCCGGAGTTGTGGGCTCTACGATGTTTTCATGATGGTTCCTAGGGGGGTGGGGGGGGCGGGACGGATAACGGGCTGGATTTCAATTGGTACTGTATCGATACTTGTACGAGTACTTTGAGTTGGCCTTTATGATACTCGTAGCTTAATTCTACTCGAGCGCTCTTACTAGATTCAACGGTATAAACCCCACCGCCGGCAGCATGGCACGGCGAGATTATGACGCTCACCTTGCTAAGTTTAACATGCTACAGCCACACATACAGTACTTCATCACCAAGACCAATGCCCCGGATCAAAACATGGGTGCTGCAATGGGCCCTACCTACCCCATCATCACGATAACCCCCTCACTAGTATCGAGAGGGTAGGGCTAAGATATCAACGTGCTTAGTACTCGAGTAGTCTAGCTCACCATATTATCCCATGTATCATACTCGTACAAGTATCATACTGATGAGACGTGCAGATTCCCCGCCCTTCCGAACACAGCAACTCTACGCCGTGACTAGGCGACCTCTCCACCAAAAAGTGATTGATACTTTGTGAGTTTTGGGAAGCAAAGTCGCTAAATTACCGGTGGTCTAGGTCATACCCAGGAAAGCGGGGAATCGGGCCATGGAAGGGCAAAATACCGGTAAATTTACTTGTATGGTGTACGGCATACTCCGAAAAGAAGAAAAAGAAAAAGAATTCCATTCCTCCTAAGATGGGAGTGCTCGAGTATCATACCGGTAGCCAATCGCTTTTTTTCCGACTTAATTTTTTTTCTCTCTCTTCCTTTCTTTTTCTTTGGTGGGTGAGCACCTCGAATAATTTGTATTCGAGTAATAAATTTACCGGTGATAATTGCGCGGGAACAGGCAGCGAGTGGTCATTTTGTGAGGCTTTCTTGGGTCTGCTCGTATGGCTTGGCCCAGTGCTGGAAGTTTTTGCATGTGAAAATGGGATGGGACGACAATCGAACTCCAAGAGAGTTAACTTATATTACAGTATAATACTCGAGTACTCGGGAAGAGAAGGAAGGAATGAAGGAGAGGGAAGGGAGGATGGATGGAAGGAAGGGTGAAACGAACAAAGGGGAATACAAGTAAAGCTTAATCCTCCTTCCCTCTGTCATGAGCATTGTACCGGTATACAGCACTCATACAGCACCGTGAAGGAATGAAAAACACTCTTCCCCGAGTGTAATTTCCTTCCCGGTCCCAGCGGATTCCCTTCCTTCCCCGGGACCGGGAAAGCAGAAGGAAGAGGAAGAAGAAAAGAAAGGAAAAGCAGGAACTTTTCCCGGCGTGGATAAGATCCCGGGCTTGGTCAGGTCAACCAATCGATCAACCAACCAACCGATCGCATGGCTTTGACCACTTCTCTTTTTTTAAATTCATACAGGACTAACTCCATTTCTAATGGCAATGTCGATGCCCCCCACACGACGGTGTGTATCTTGTCACTTGACAATCGTTAGGGTGGAACCGATGACCTGGAATTTTGTTGACTCGCGGGGTAGCTGGTGACTGCCGGTATCATGTGTGTAGCATCGTACACCGGAGGAAAAAGAAGGTGCAGGTAGTGATAGGAGGGAGGGAGGAAGGAAGGGAGAAGGGGGGGATTGGTGCTGTACGTCCAGTGCGGTGGCTTAAGGTATGGTAGAGCCGGTGAGGCAGTTGCACCCTTTTCTACTTCCAATCCCGCCACCTCTACCGTCATCCCCCCTCCCCCACAATCCACAGTTACACACTCCTTAAATTACATCCCTCGAGCACACTTGCACTCAAGTACTGTACAGCACAGTGGACTACGGTGATACTACTTCATACGGCGCCCTTCCCCTTCCTTTCCACCTCACCTCCTTCGCCCACGACTGCCCCGCGGCAGTGCTTGATCAACGCCCTCACGCTCGAGAGATCAGCATGTCGTTCATACCCTCGCGCAGACACTTCACTTCGGAGGACGTTTCGACGAGCACTAGCGGGAGCATCATCACGCCGATACTAAGGGTCCTACGGGACCCTGCATCGTTGCTTTCGTCCGCGTTTGTGCTGGATGAACGTATGAAACGACATCAACTTGCTAGCGCTAGATTGAAAAATGTTCGTCCCCTTGCCTGCGCTCGCCATTCTACGATATGGTCCAGTGACTGATTGTGTATAGGCAACGACATACGCCGGCTGGCACAAGGCCGCACAGGAACTCGACGTTCTGGAGGGCAATGAAGCATGGAAGTCCGAAGTCGAATCACCGGATTACGATTACACCCTCGTAGCGGCACGTCTGAGGCAGCTCGATGAAGCACGGATATCATGCGACGTCAACAGGATGTTGTTCCTAATCCGCACGACGCTCTCGCGAAATCTGGGGGATATGGAGAATATTCGTGTAGGGGCCTCTCCTCCTGCTCTGTCACATCCGATGTTATTAACTCGTGTGATGCTTTGCAAAAAAAAACAAAAAAACAGCTATACAAACACTCCCACACCGGTACAAAGCGATTAATAGAAGAATACATCAACTCCTGCGTGCTAACTCTAAACGCTCTACTTACAATTCCCCCAACACTCGACGCACCATCGAGCCGTGAGATCTTGGACTCGCTGCTAAAGACCCGCCAGGCCTTCGGCCGCACAGCACTGCTCCTATCGGGCGGCGCAACGTTCGGCATGAACCATGTGGGCGTGCTTAAAGCGCTGTTGGAGCAATCCCTCCTGCCCAGGATCATATCCGGAGCCTCGGCGGGGTCGATAGTAGCGGCGGTGTTGTGCACACGCACGGACGACGAGATACCCACCATATTAGAGGAATTCCCCTATGGGAACCTAGACGTTTTCGAGGACGGGAAAAAGCCGGAGAGTGTGCTTCAGCGGGTGACGAGGTTCTTGAAGATCGGTGCCTGGATCGACATTAAGTACCTCACGCGAGTGATGCGGGAGTTATTGGGGGACATTACCTTTCAAGAGGCGTATAATCGTACCAGGAGGATTTTGAATATTTGCGTCAGCAGCGCTAGGTATTATTATTATCTTTCACCCCCGCTCACTCGTCCTTGCGAAATCGAATCACTAACGCAGTGTAAAAGCATATACGAGCTCCCCCGCCTATTAAACTACGTCTCAGCCCCGAATGTTTTAATTTGGTCCGCCGTGGCAGCATCCTGCTCCGTGCCCTTCCTCTTCACCTCCACTTCGATTCTAGCAAAAGATCCCCAAACCGGCCTCCCAACACCCTGGGACCCATCCCCGCAACGCTGGATAGACGGCAGCGTGGACAATGACCTCCCCATGTCACGACTCTCCGAAATGTTCAACGTGAACCACTTCATCGTAAGCCAAGTAAACCCGCACGTGGTGCCCTTCCTAACCAAAGATCCGCCTTCCTCCCCCTCCCCCCCCTCTCTCATCACCGCCCCCACACCAGAGCCGACCTCAACCTGGCGCACGAAAATCCTAACCTTAGCGCACACCGAGACTCTCCACCGCCTGAACATCCTCTCAGAGTTAGGCATCTTCCCCACGTCAATGACCAAGCTGCGTGCTGTGCTGAGCCAAAAGTACTCGGGCGACATCAATATATTCCCGGAAACGCCGTACGCCGACCTGCCGCGCATGCTGAAGAACCCGACGGCAGAGTTCGTGCGCACGGCCATGGAGCGCGGTGAGCGCGCAACGTGGCCGCGTCTGACGCGCGTGCGGAACCATGTCCTTGTTGAGTTGGAGCTGGATCGTGTCATTCATGTTTTGCGCACAAGGGTGGTGTTTGAACCGGGTAGGGGTGATGGGTCATGGGCGACGGCGGGGGTGGGAGCGGGTGGAGGAGGAAGAACGGGGGGAATATGCGTGATGAGGTCCCCAAGGGGATTCGGTGCAGCGGGGGCGGCGGCGCACACACCTCCTAACACCAGGCTAGGGAGCACAAGCAGTAATGGTAGCGGGAGGAAGACACTTAGGCGAAGACACCAAACCACCGGCACAGAAAGCATTCATTCAAAATTCACAAACCAACATCAGCCACCCCACCAGCCCACTCACCACCACCACCGTAGAGCAAAGACAGCCACAGCCACAGCCCCAATCGCCTCCCGCACTAATACCACGGGGGATTACTTCACCCTCCAACCGGACCACTCCACATTTAGTATCTCGGATGAGGAGGAGGGTGAGGGAGCAGAACCCGTTGCGAACTCCGCAAGAAAGAGATTTGCTAGTTGGAATGGATTGGTAATTTCGATACCAACTGCTACCAACAGTAACGATGGCGGGCGCGCGTTGAGCTCTAGACGTGGGAGGGAGTTGGTCCGCATGACGAGGGTTGCTGGAGAGTTTGATGGTGGTGGTGGTGGTGGGGTTAAGGTTGGTATTGGAAGGGCAAAGAGTGCGGAGGAGTTGAGGGGGTTTAGGGGGTGATGAGGGCGAGGGTAGGGTGTATTATATAGTGTTATATTTTATAATATTATAATATTATTATCATACGATGCAAGGCAGATTTATGTTGGGTGGGGGGTAATGATTTGTTTGCGTATGATAAGCTTTTATACTGGGCTTGGATTGTTCGTAAAGCGTGGTATGTCATGGTATGATACCATGTACGAGAGGTGGATAATAATATTGTGGAGGGGTTGCACGCCGTGGGTTGAGTGTATGATATAACATATACTATTCATGTTCCCGTTCCAGCGTCGCCGAGTTAGACTTCACATCACCGATCAATTTGACCTAGACTACCCATCTCCCACCAATCAACCAATCAGTCATCTCAATCCACCACCCATCCCTCCCTCCCCCGGCGTCCACACAAGGAAAAGGTGAAAAGAATGAAAAAGTGAGAAATAAAAAATAAAAAAACTTAAGCCAAACACTCATCCCTAGCATACCCTATTTCAAACCCCATATTTAACTCCACCGCCAAGCCTGCTCCAAGACTTACTCCCCCATCACCACCACCACCATTGTTAAACTCCATAACCCCACCATCGGTAAACATTGGGTCGTAAAAGCCGATCGGGTTGCTCGGGTCCCAGACGTCTAACATGAATTGGCCCGGGTACCCCCCCCATTCCATGTCTCTCTCCCATCCCCCCCCGCTGGTGGGCCCTCCAGCGGTTGTATTCGGTGGCATACAAACGGCCATACCGGTCGTGCTAGGCATGCCGACTCTAGAGACTGAGACTTGTATTTGCTCTGGGTGTTCCTGCTGCTCCTGTTCTTGCTGTTGATGATGGTGGTGATGTTGTTCTTGTTCTTGCTCTTGCTGTTGTTGTTGGAGTGTCTGCTGTCCCTCGGACACTGGGACGGTGGCCTCGCCGCCTTCACGAAGACTCGACAGGGCTAGTGCGCACTCGACCTTTCCTTTTCGCCCGACGGCTTCTTTTCCCAGGGCTGCCATTGCACCGGCGAACCACCACCATCTCGATAGGGTTTCCAGAACCTTTACCATATCTTTGTATGCCTTTAGGTATACCCTTTCGCCCCCCCGGACAAGGGCGCAGAAGGTTGCGAGGGATAGTGAAGCGGCGTAAGGTGTTATCGAGGTTGGCGGGAGAAGATGCATGAGGGAATGGTTTGAGAGGGTTTCATAGATTGCTTTTGCGGAGGTTGTACGGCGGCTGTGGGAGGGAGAGTGCGGGCTTGAAGTTGCCGTTCTGTGGGACAGGATTGAGATTGCGTGGTAGAAGAGGGATAGGGTTGCTTTTCCGCTCTCAATTAGTTTCGGATGACGGTAAGGGGGGTATAGGGCGGGAGATACCTAATAACCCTTGGTCACCACAATTTGTCTCCCCCACGACCTGTTCGAAGGAGGGAAAGTCTTCCTCCCATCGGAAAGCCTCGCCTTCTTTTTCTTTCCTGGGTCTATACAATGCGATAACCTCTTCTAATAACTCCGCTAGCCTAACCATCCCGCGGAAAACACCGGTCCCCTCATCCCTGGTTGGAAAATCAATCGACGTGTCCTCCCCACGCACCAGCACCGGACGTCCATTTATCGCCGCCTGCAATTTATCTAGCTCCCAAAGACACCACCAGAGCTCCGTCTCGCCACTGCTACCGTTCCGATCCCTTTTGAGATGTAAACCGGCAGAATGCGCATGGTGTATGGCAGTGCACAAATTCATACTCGCAACCTCATTCCCGTGGGGGCCATCAGCCGAGTGAAGCGATAGCAGCCCATACACACGGATGAGCCGTATGCGGTCCTTCTCGTTTCCCGTGTGCAGCAGCGCCGTTATCCGGGTGTACAGGGTCGAGGCGAATTCCCGGGGCGCGAGCAGGGCATTCGTCGGTGGGAGGACTAGATGCTCGGCGGCTTTTGGGTGGCGGGAGGCAACGAGGAGGATGCTTAGCAGCAAGACGGGGGGGATTGCGTCGGGGGTTTTGAAGAGGCTTATCGTGTACGTGTCTACGAGTGGGTAGACCGGGTGCACAGATTCCATATACAGCAATAGCAGAGCGTCCACGCTTGGACGTGGGGGCCGCGAGAAGGCATTGAGAGATTCAAGGAAGTTGTTGTAATGCGTAGCCAGAGTGGGCTCCGTGCCCGTAGAGGGTTGAGTAGTATCCGGGCTCTTGCGGCGTTTTCGTGAGCGGGGAACGGCTTGTGGATGCGACACCCAGACACCTATTTCGTTACTGTCCAGGGCTGGGGCCGACGACGAGGAGGGTCCCGATGGAAGATTAGACGTTGCCGAAAGTAGTGCCGCTTCCGGGTTCAGATCTCCTATAAAGCGGGACTGCCCCTCCCGATCAGACGACACAGCGAGTTTATCCGTGAATCCTTCGCTCTCGACCTCTGCTGGGTTTACCGGAGCACCTGCGGTGGCAGAACCGCCGCCTTGCGATAGCTCTACCGCAACTAGGCTGCGTAGGTGGAAAAGAGAAAAATCGTCAGTTTAACAATTCTTCAGAAATTAGGAAAGAATCAGATTTAAGAGGAAAAGGTTTAAAATCTTACGAACCTACAATATAATCCATCTCTCGTGCATCCCGCGCATCTCTCATGGTTCTCGAAGGGAGGTAGACATCTCTTCTGTTGAAGAAGTTAACAATGGTCGTCAAGATCGCGGGCGGTGCCGTAATGACGAGATTCTCCACCCTCCCGACCCCCACCTCTGGCAGGGATCATGCGATGGGAAATAAAAAATAAAAAAAATGGGAAAAAGGTGGGAAAAAATGGGGGGGAGAAAAAAGAAAAAAAAAGAAAGCCAAAGACCTTACCCTTCTCCTCTTGCATTGATCGCAAGCACGATGAGCGCGCTTCCTATCCCGGTACGAACTATTGTTGGCAGCGAACACTTGTACTCGTACAGTAGCGCCCATGGTTTGGCAGGAGTTAAATTTGGTGGGGGAGGGTCCTTTTTTGTCTTCTGCGATGAAAAGTTGTTAGAGGAAGACTTCCCTCTGGAGGAAAGAGGAGAGGATTTGCTCGTTTCGGGGAGCAGGGATATCGGGTGGGGTTCTGTTCTCGGAAGGGTAACAACAGATATGGAGGATCAAAGGAGGATGCAGCACTAGGTGGGAGTGGGTCTGTTAAAACACGGCGAGATAGTGGATGTCTGGGAGCCCAAATTGACGGCCAATATTAATAACGGCAGGGAGAAAGGGTTCAAGAGAGCGCCGTGCAGGGTAGTGGACATCCCCGACAAGTCAGCCCAGCAGGCTATATTTGCCCATTTCTGAGAATTTGAACAAAGTTCACGTATTGCTTGTTCAAAGCGATTCACTGGTCCAGCATCACACGTTGTCATACAAGTGTCGTGCTAGGCCGAGCATTCTACTGTTAGGTCTTCTCCGCTTTCGCAAAGCAAACCAGACAGCCTCCTCCAGCACCATCGTTATCACCATCACCATCGTCACTCACCCACCCCCACACTATCGGCGGAAGAAGAAAAAGGAAAAAAAGTGCACAAAAATCCTCGACATGATGCGGGTATCTTTGTCCAAGGCTTCGCGTGGATTCATCAAACAACCTAATCTCGTTTACCCTCGGGGTGGGTGAGTGCCGGTAACCCAAGTGATTGAAGCCGATGAGTGTCCCAAGAGTATGATAATAGCTCACACTACTCGAGCACTAGCACCCCCACAACCGCACACAAATAACGCATGGCACCGCGTTTCCTTACAGGTAAACAGTCATGTCGAGCCATTATAACCTCCCACGCTTATAATACGAGTATGATGGTTTGGAACAACCCGCAGGCGGGAAATATTGTCTTAGACCAGTGGTATTCCCCATCCCTCGGGCCTTGGGATGTCTCCACGCTACTGTGCAGTGAGCTACCGGTACGCCTTATCCCCAGATCGATGCGGTACGTACTAGTATTGTACTTGAGCACTGTACCCGCTCAAGCACAGTTCCGTACCCCATCTTTCCACCATTCTTGTGTAATGCGAGCACCGCATCTTTACCAGGTTCGAGTCAAATCATTCAGTTCCGACCTTTCATACAGGAGAACCTCGCAATGCGTGCTTTTTTTTTATTTCTCCTCCTTTCCTTTTTTTTTACTATCATTCCTCTTAAGGAATTTTGGCTCAAGCGAGCACTCCACGGTACTCCTACAGTGCTGGCATATTTATATTGAAGAGCGAAGAAAAACAGAGAAGCCTCCCCAGGTTGCGTTGGCTTGGTCGGTATCGTAATATCATACCCGTAACCCCCGAGGCTGACAGACGGCCGGGCGGCCAAATGCGATCAGAGGAGTTCCGTACTCTACCATTGCAGGTATGATAGACGATGGATGGAGGGTATCGTGTCGCATCTCTCAACATCCTACGTATCATAGATAAGTTGTGCCAATATTCGAGCATCACGCGCACCCACGCACATACTCATATCATACACACATACCCCCCCCCCCCACACACACGCACAAATCTTGTATTCGAGTACCTGTATGACATTCGAACCTTCCATCATCTAATCTATGATGCTTTTTTGGTCTGCCACACTATTGGTTTTTCTATAGTTTTCTTTTTCTTTTGCTTGCTTCGGATTACTGTACAGTATAGTCGCACCTCGCTATCCCGGACGGCCAAAATCCGAAGAATCCATACGGCACAGCGAGGGATCCGGACAACGGGCCAGGCTTCGGTAGAAGGAAATTCAGAGTTCACTGAGATTCATACGAGACAGCGAGGTATCCGGATTATCGTGATCCGGGACAGCGAGGTTTGACTGTACTCTTATGTTAATAATAAGCGTTGTGATAGTAAGGTCCTTGGAAAGCGAAATGAAGGAAGTTTTTTTTTGTTGAGGCTTGAGTTATTTTAGAAGTTAGCGCTGGTGTCATCAAATTCCAAAAAATGATAAGCTTGAGCTGAAGCCGGCTTAGACTACTTGAAGCCCTGACTTATCCGTATGTCTGCGGACTCCTTTTGCGCCATCTCCAGCCCCAACAATCTCGCCATCATAACCGAGCGTGGGTGGTAGATATTGACATTTGGCTGTCAGGGCCACCTGCAGTAGTCTGAAAGCAAGATTGGACTAGGCCTTTTCGGTAAATTGAGGGAGGGAGAGATCGAGGTCAGCCCCCGAAACAAAAAAAATGGTTGGCAGAACCTTGTTTCTTACTTGTACGAGTACGGTACTTGTACAGCTAGGTTAGAACTCAGACAATGTTTGCCCCCGATCACCATCGTAGATAGATAATCCAAGGGTCTAAGAAGAATCCTCTCGGAGGACTGGGTATCTTTGTGTCTATGTGGTGCTGTACACGGAGTTTCAGCCTTGTATATTCTTCAGTTATTGTGGCAGTCCAGGGTTTACCTCGCTCGAACCTGTCCCCCGTACGGTGGCCCGAACTCGGTAGCCTGGGATTGCGGTGAATAAGAACCCAATCCATCGGTACTGATAGGGAACACCGACCGCGAGTATCTCTCCTAGTTAGATTATCGGAGATCTTGTGAACTCCTTCGCCAGATCATCTGGGTGTCTGGTTCAAGGATAGCTTTAACAATTCTGCTTTGGATTAGCGACTCTCAAATGAAAAAAACGAGCACGTGCATGAGCATAGCTCTTCATACCGAACTTTGAGACAAAGTCCGGTATCCTGTCAATCGCCGTGCAAGCCCTCACAAGCAAAAATGAGTGCCTTATGTGCCCATTGATTTGTCCTCTGCTGTGGCGGTAGAGTTATGCCACTTCAGCTTCGCATATCCCGGGGTAGATGTGGTGTGCTCTGTTTGACAATTCCTCCATAATAGAATTAGAGACTGGCCCGTGTAGGGGTATAGATACTGAAGAACCTTCCATTAGACTTCGGCAATTTTGATTTGTTCCGGATTCTCTTCAAGGTCAACTTAAGAGGGTTGCAATGGCCGCCACCGCCACCGCATTCACTCACCCCCAGGGTTCGTGTTGCCCGCTGATAGTAGAAGATCCAGAATAATCAATTATGATTGAACCAATTGGAAGGGCCAGCCCTATGACGGCAGTTCCGGCTTCTGATACTGACGCCTACTTCACTGGCAGTTACACTCGTTACAGGTGACAGGGCGAGAGGAGTATTGTACTAACAACTATATATTGAATCATCAGAGGTCACTCGTGGATGTCTTCGATGTCGCTATAAATGGGGGCTTAATTTCGGTTTCTACTCCGATCCCCCTCGCGCCGAGATGTTGTTAATACCGGGTATACTCGAGTACAATTGTACGGTACGAGTATTCGAGTACCGTCAATCCAAATGGCATCATACCGTATCCTGTTCCTGCAGGTCGCCGCGAGGAATGCCAACCGTGACTGGGTGCGCCAGGTGATCCATGCTGATTGGCCCGAAATCGACAATGTCAAAAGGACCCTGCAGCTAGCGAAATCTGCCACAACACCAGGTGGTGAATTCCTTTTTCGGTCAGCTTGAAAATATTCATGCTTGGCACGGGCACTTTTGACGGACTACGCACCTCAAGATAATATAAGCTTAGACGTCTACGCCCGCTTTGTAAGTTTGTCGCCGCAAGAAAGGTCGACTTCTGGATCGTAAACAACACTAACTGTATCAAAATTGCAAACCGACCGTTACGGTACCCCACTTGCGCTAAAGTCCAGAGAGCAGAGGATGGCTTCTCGAGACCCTTCAACGTCTGCGTCTGCGTCTTCGAAGCCGTCGAAAACGACAAAGTCATGGGAAGAAAATTACAAAATGAGAGAGATTACTCCGGTCGAGTGGGAGGAGCGCCGTGAAATGTTCACACAACTCTATTTTAACGAGGACCGCCGCTTGGATGATGTGAGGAGGATTATGGCCACCGAGCATGGCTTTTACGCGAAGTATGTGGCCCACTTCCGGCGCTCTGACACGTAGCCAAAGAATGCATGTATCTAACTTTCCGGTGCTTAGCGATACACAATGTAAAAAGAAGATAAAAAAGTGGGAACTTGGGAAGAGCCTCAATAGAGGAGCTGCATGTGCGATGCTTAGGATCCAGAAGCGAAGGCATGCGGAAGGGAAGGAGACGGAATTCACTTATAAGGGGCATAAAGTCAGTCAAGAAAAACTCGAGCGCTCACGCAGGAGGCTCAAAGACTGGGACAAAGAGGATGAGACAAACCCAGGTATACAATATTTCCTCAAGCAAAGTATTCTTCCAAAGCTTTACTAAATGTGGGAGTAGAAACCCCGATGTGGGTGGATTATTCCACTCCAAAAAGCACTGCCGACGACCCACCCGAAGAAGATTACCAATCAATAAGCCCTGGCTCTGGCTTCAGTAATTCGGAAGGTGGAGATACTGTCCCATATGTCGTGTCTTCTCCCGGGACCATCTCTGAGTCAGGGACCATTGAAAACCATATGCAACCGTTTGGAGTGCCGATGGATCCTAATCTGGATCCGAACCTAGACCCCTTTCTGCAATTGGCAAGCGGTAGAATCGGCTTCGATGAGCCCCTTCAACATAGATATCCACGCCCAGTAACTTCCGGCGAAAGCTCTAGTAGCCTGATGAGTTTGAGTGATATCCACCAGGTTGCGCCAAGCTACCCATACGAAGTTGATGGAGTCCCACCAATGGTTTTCCCCAACGACCAAGGATCATACTCCCTGGATCCTAAAGCGATAACTTCACTCTTATCAGCCTCCTTGATATACCTAGATAAGGGGTTTCTAAAAATTGCCGAGGATCTCCAACGTCTTGCCTTTGATAGTTCGAAAGAGAAGAATGGAGAAAGTCATCCCGATACTTTGGCTTCCATGCAAACTCTGGGGTTTCTCTGCCGGGATCAAGGGAGATACAAAGAGGCCGAGGAGATTCTCCACAGAAACCTAGCCCTGTCAACCGGAATATGTGAAGCCCACCGTTATTGGATGAAGCCAACACAGGGGTTGGGGGTGATATACATCCACCAGGGTCGACTGAAAGAGGCAGAAGAGTGCATCTCTCGAGTGACAAAAGCCAGCAAGGAGCACTTTGGGTCAACCCACCCCGAGACTTTGTCAGCAATCCACAGTCTTGCCACAGTATACATGGAGATGGGAAAAAGCTGGGAGGCGGAACAGCTTCTCGCTGGTGAAGGCGGCGTTCTTCAGATGAGCAAGGATCAGTCGGGAGACCAGCACCCCGAGACTCTAGCAACTATGCGGACGCTTGCAACAGCATACCTCAATCAAGGCTATTTGAAGAAAGCGGAGCAGATGCTCCACCTCGTCCTTAGGAAAAGCGAGCAATTCTTCGGACGGAGACATCGACAAACCATCTCATCTATGCATTGCCTCGGAGTTGCATACCTCGACTTAAAGAGATGGAAGGAAGCCGAGCGAATGCTCACACAAGTCCTTGATCTGAGTAAACAGTATCTCGGGGATGAGCATCGCCACACATTGACCGCAATGCACAATCTCGGCGTCACCTATTTGGACCAAGGAAAGTTGGACCTTGCGGAGACCCAATTCATCGATGTCGTGCAACTCAGTAGCAGGTATATGGGCGAGAACCACCCCGACACCTTGTCTTCCAGAAACAAACTTGCGAAAACCTATCTCAAGCTTGGGCGCTGGAGCGATGCCGAGATAATCTCCCGGGAAGTTGTGAGCAAGTCGAAGGATGTTCTGGGTGAAACTCACCCTGAAGTTTTTAAGTATGCTGCACTTCTTGTAAACATCAATCAGGAAAGGGATCGGGCAACATAGCTCTGGGGCGAGATATTGTCTGTTAGCGGGGGCTTTATTTGTTTGTTCGGTCATGTACTTAGCATCATCGGGAGTTTTGGTATTGGGAAAAGTTTGTTCGTGAGGCTGGCATTGCGGGTTGTTTTAATTGTACGATTAGGCGGATCGTGGACCTAGCGAGAGGGAGGTAGGGATTTTCCCGGTATTTGGAAGTGCATCCCAAATGGTTTGGTACCGTATGAAGGAGAGCTAGGAACGGGCTCTCCAGGGATATCGGCCACACTGGGAGGCTTTAATAATGTAATCACCAGAGCAACGGCGCGCCCGCAAAGGGCTGGCTGACATCAGCAACTACCCTCTTTTCAAAAATTATCTCCTGTGTGCGAACCACTTCGAGTCATCCATTCTCCAGGGATTCTGATCACCCCGTTATACAGTTGGTAACCGCCGTGGCGGGATTTCGATGTGCAGCGTGAGTGCTTGACCTCAGTGACCTTTGACCATGCAATGACTCCCAGCATGCGGGGGATAGCCTATCAAGTCTGTTCCTCGAGATTTTCCTAATGACTAGGCACCGGTAGTGGCAGTCATTTCCCGATAAATTCTGGTACTATTATACTATCTAAATTATTCAATCGCCAAGTCAGCTTCCCATCAGAAAACTACCGTACCGGTATTCGTGATAAAAGTAGCCTCCCCTGCATCTGACTAACCTCTGTGTGTCTACAAAATAGTTTTTATACAGGAACTAGTGAAATTAGAGAACCCATGATGTCTCATCATCCAGCCAGTCTGGCACCTCGCTCCTCATCGATACTAGTAAGGGGACAAGAGGAGATAAAAAGAAAAACACGAAAGACAAGCAAACCAACAATAGCCCTCCCTACGCTCATGGGCAAAAGTTATCATACTTCATAAAAAAAAACCCCCTCGCGCCAAGGAACAGTGTAAAATACCAAAGGCAATGAAGCTTTCTAAAGACGATATCAATCGGAGCCAATCAGTCATCCAACGGAGAATAGTCCTTTCGGAGTGTAAAAATGGAGCTTCTCAGGTCTCGGACCCCACCCTCACTCTTCCCCTCGCTCTCGTCACTCTCTTTCTGCTCGGCCTTATCGCCCTCACCATCGCCCCCGACTTCTCCAATGAGAGACCGGTCTCTAGTTCTTCCCCTCTCCTTCAGTCCTGTAATCAAATCCTCACCGTCTTGATTCTGATCACCTCCCTTCCTCTCATCTTTATTAGGTTCCATCGATGCTAGTTTTGATGCTTCGGCTCTCGATGCAGAGGTGATCCCTAGAGACCTCTTCATCACCTCTTTGGCTTCTCTGAATGCTTCCAATTCCGCACCAATACAGCAAACCAATAGCTTCCATCCCCTATTCTCTGCCAACTCGAGCTTCTGTTCAAGTGCCTCAACTACACCTTCAAGCCCTTGCATGATATCTCGGTTTATATCTCCACTCCGCCTGCCGGATATTAGTAAACCTAGTTTGTCCTCGAAGGAATATACAAGAGAAAGTGTTTCGTCCCACAAAACCATCCCTTCGAGCAAAGCCTCGCCCTCAACCTTAGCCTGATCTTTCTTAGCTAGCAGGGCTTCTCTCTCGAGGGTCCACGACTCGATAGCCGTGGCGGGAGAAGGGAAGCGATATGTTGCGAGAAAGTTTGACGTTCTTTGCTTGACGGTTACAAGAGAGGACTGGTAAGAGGAGGTTTTTGATGACACAGTGGACTCCAACTCCCCAAGCTTGTACCTCAGGGCGGCACGGTGATCCTCTAGCTTTGAGAGCTGAGTGCGGAGTTCTTGCATCTCACGCTGGTCATAGTTAGCAGTGTATGGAGTTGTTAAGTGGGAGCTGTAGGTTACCTCAACCTCACTTTTCGCTTCCCTTAGAGCCCGAGCTTCTTTTCCTTCTTCACCCTCCTCAATCTTGTGTATCTCCTTTTCCAAAAGCGATGCTTTGTCTCCCCAGTTTTTCATAGTTTTCACCAATGTCTCCCGTTCCGCAACCTCTGATGCGTACGCCTTTTCCTCTTTATCTCTGATTTCCGCCAACTCTCGCATGGTTAGCAGTACTCTCTTCCTCGCTTGGTGTAATGTAATCCTCTGTTCCCGGGGGACTTGATCCGCAGAATATAAAGGATTTCTAGGGAGTCTCCGAGACGTGGACAAACTGCCCCCAGACATCAGCTCAGCAGACTGCACATCTAACAAGTGTTGCAGCTCCTCAGTCAGAATTTCAGTCCGCCTCTGTAGACCATGGAGTGGAGAACGTTGTGTAGCATGGGGAGATGAGCCCGATGTATACATGTAGCTTGTTACTGCAGGGGGAGGAAGCTTAAAGCTACTGGATGGTGAAACGTTGTCAAAATCAGAGGCAACCGACGGGGAAGTAGCTCTTTTATCACTGTACTTGTTGACGCTCGGTTTATGCGTAGGAAAGTTGTCGAAACGAGTTTTGGGACGAGATGGCGGCGATCCGCTTGTGCTGGTTTTCGACATTCTGACTGGTGATGGTGATGATGGGGTCCGAAGGTAAGCAGGGGGGTAGATGGATTCTGGGGAGGGGAATGAATGCTGTTCCATCCTAGTAACGTAGAAACTAACAGAAAAAGCGAGAAGTTGATCGTCCGATGGACTCTTGAGACGGAGAATAGTATGCCCTCAGCTAGACGAGGTATGGTGAATGAAACGGACACATTGAACGATAGTGGTATCATATAATAGAAGGTGGGGGATGTAGGAGGCATGCGTTCAACTGCCGGGAATGGCCCGGCCGCTGACATGTGGGAACCCTACAGTTATCATGAGCAGGAGTATGACAGGGTCACCCGCTGCCAAGCCATCAACCGAGAAGATAGGGCGATAAGTGAGAACCCTGAACTGCGAGATCATCAACCGTTCCGTTTCGCGACCATTTCAACCGCAAAAACGATCATCAAACCGATTGAAACGGAAGGGAAATGGTCGCTTGTATTCGAGTATGGGGCAACGGAACAGAGCGGCTGTATCCAAACAGATCCCTAAATTATGGAGGCTCAAAACTTCCCTACTAGTACTCGAGTATCTGTGGAATCGCAAGGCCCAATTACCGTAGCATGTGATGCACCTGGATTTATCATACTCGCCCACTGGAACCAGCAACCTTGTATTCGACTCATGGCCATATCACACAAGTAGAGTGTCGCGCTAAAATGTAGGTAAGAGGGTTTCAGCCTCACCTCACCCACTCTATGAGCACCAGAGAGTGCTATGTTCTTATTAAATTGGTAAATTATAATACGGTAGTAACACCATCCCCAGTGCCTCCAAACACCAATGCCGTTTTGCGTGGTAACCGTGGCCATTTTTTAATTTTTACGGTGCTGGTGTCGTTTCCTTGTTGTATGATACTTGGAACTTACGGTCCGCAGATACTGGTGCTTTCATCACCTAACACTCCAATCCGCGCGTCGATCTAATAGAATAGACAGCCTCCTTAGTCAACAGCACAAGGTATCATATACAAACGCTCTCTTTAGAACTAAACTTCTTCTAGGAAACCGGAATACCACGCCTCAGGTGTTGCACCTTTCCGGCTCTCAAAATCATTAACCGGATCAACTGTAGAATCCCGGTTCTCTACGCCATGGTTTCCGTCAGCGGTACTGTACTAGTACTGTACTGCTCTTTATTTTTTTTCATATCATCTCAATGAGAGGCGTTACTTTTCTGAACGATATTGCGCAATTATTGTAAACTGGGTAGCTCCAAATCCTAGTTAACTTAGACCTTACAGCGGATGAGCAAAAGACTTGACGGTTGCTCCTTCTCACATCAAAAGCGGGCAAAAACCTCACATTTTAATTACCGGTGTTTGTATCTCATTGAAAGCTAGATCTTTTTCCCAAATTCCTGACCCAAAGTCAATTAAATTTTTATCTGTGATATCTCATGATCAATTTGAAGTATATCTATTATCATGCCAGCTGAAGGCCTGCAAGCTTGTAAATTTCTACCATTGCTTAAAGTCATCGACATTGTCGATTTACTAATATAATTGTTTTACCAACACTGCACAACAAAGTCCCGATCCTTGATGAGCTGTAACATAATGGGAAAGTGTCAGGAGACCCCATAAAAGGTTGAGGAACAATCTCCACATGCGCATGTGGCCATCTGAATGGTCTCTGGAAGGTCTCCGTACATGTTCAGTGCAGGATCCTGGCCAAAAAAACCCAAAATGCCGATACCTGGTGTAAAGGTGTCCAGTCACCGAGGCTTTTGCCCACTCGCTGTACATACCCCACGTGCAGTGCCTTTCACCAAGACGGTTGCCGAAGAATACAGCACACTGATTTGTCAGGGACTATAAAAGTGAGGTTCGATATGTGATCCTTGCGGATTGGAATCGAGGGGGGAAAGAAATAACGCCTGGCTGGAGCATCACAGATAATTTCGTTAAAACGTCGCAATCCCCAATCCCAGACTGGCACCACCTCCCATCTGTCCGTTCTCCCAGTACCCCATAACATACTATAACCCCATTTTGAAACTTGGTTCTCTCACTGTCAGTGAAAGAACCGGTATCATACTTAGGGTAGAATAACACCAACAGTCTCCCCTCCTCAAAAAGAGCACAAATATGTTTAGTTCCGCCCACTCCCCATCAGTCAACTCACCAGATTGTACCGGTTCACAAACGCATCGCCGCTATCATATACAAGTACCTACTCTTTCTATGCCCCAATAAAATATAGAAAGATTAAATCACAATAATGTTCGACAAATTCGTCTAACTCATTAAGAAAATATTCGCTCGCGAGCCTCTAGCTCCACCTGCTCCTCTATTCGTCGATGAATACGATAACGATGATACTGTTAGTTCTTTTTTCAATGCCTTAAAGGATCGAGTCGGGGTGATAACATTTCAAATGTTATGAGGATCAGCTTTTCTCTTTTGACGACTAAGAAGCTCTAGTTCAGGAATTTCGGCCACCCAGGAAGATTCCGCAAGCTAGAACCGCCCCCGGCGATTCAGTTGTTAAAAGCATCGAATTCAGCCATGGTGATTAAAGGTGGCATGTGTGGGAAGGGCTGTTGCTGACGGATCGGTTTCGGGTACTGGAGAGTAAATGGGCTTGACATATCTATTCCCTTTGGCTTGATACTTTGTGCCCGTTGTATTTATCGGTGGTGAGATTAAGCTGTAAATAATTTGTTTTTTTCCTTTTTAATCCTTCTATTCCATCCTGTCCCTTTTCTCCGGGAGTGCAAGCTTCGTGAAGGGGAGCTATGACAAGTAGATTCTCCCTTTCCTACAACCATTGTCCGAGGCAAGAAGTATTCGAAAATACGAGTCGTAACTTTATCTGTGCGCTCATACACGCACAGATTTTTTGCCATACATTTTGCGAACCCCTATTTTCGATTACTACTGGCCTAGGACAAGTATCATACTAGTACAAATAAAAAATGATCAATTTGAGTCACCTCTAGTATTAAAAAGGATAATAGACCTCATAATATTATTCTGGATACCCTTGTTGTGACGATACGAAAGGAGTCACCACAAACTGTCATCCCAAGTCACACCTTAAAATACCCTAGCAAAACTCTGTGACGGTAATCTGCCCACTACGGTACTCCCCAATTTCTTGTTCACCTCCAGGATTCAATTCTTATGCACATATAAGATCTCTCTGTTTACCGGTTAGAGTACCGTACATGGAGGCTGGAACATGTGACAAGTAAGGTACAAGTACCATAGCTTTGGGTTCTATAAATTTAGTGCTGGTTGCGGGGGAAGCGGAATAGTGCTGGAGGTTCGTTGTGAAACCATACCAGTAGTAAAGTCTAGACAAAAGGAATCATTGTGAATTGCTTCACTTAAACGACCCCCTTTTGGTATTTTTTACTGTACACATAGGGTATTCCTTATTCCGGTTTCTTTTCCCGGAGGAATACGTTCCCTTCGTTTCGTTCACTAGATTCCGGACTGGCGAGTACCAAGCGTGTAGCTTCCCTGATCAGCGCAGAACCGCCCTGCCGTTGTTTATTGCACTAGTGCTGCTGCAATCCTAGTCGGTAGTAGTGGGGTGGCCTAATTTCGCCTAAAGGCAAGTACAGTACGAACTAATGACTTAAGCTAAAAAATATCAATGACACCCATCGATTCAGTGGTGTAGAGGTATCATGGGCGCTTGCCATTTCTGTGTGCGCCCGACCCGGGTTCGATTCCCGGCTGAATCAACTGTTCCGAGTGCTTCCTGTACTCTGCTTCATTTTTTTTTTTTGGCAGATTCTTCAATACAAGGGCACTGGCACTTGCGATGTTAGATCGGCTTTGGTTTTGCCTCAACATGCTACAGAACAGTCCAGATAGTGTTACCAGCTACCAGTTGAATCGTGCCGCTGGCTGCCATAAAGTCTTCGGGCAAACACCATTCAGTCCTTGGTCCACCATCCCTTCTGAATCACTAGGCTCTCCTTGCTCTCAATACTAGCAACCAAAGGGGTATGTCCCTTTATTTTGCTCGCCTTAAGTAATATCTTTGAAACTTTATCTCCCTTTAAACTTTCAAGATTGAAACAATTTCCATTGATCAACACCCACGATGTCTAAGTGAGCCGTGGCATCATAACAAGATGTTCTACCAGAGCTGCGCAAGTATGATATACTGTACTCTTTATCAGTTTTTTAGATAAAGGAGATGGTCAAAATTATGATACTGACGCCGGCAGGGTTTACGGATGGGGAACATTCAAGGTATGAGGTCAGTTATTCCTTTGGGCTACAGTACGGTTGATTTATTGTTTAGTGCACCAAAGCCAATTTCTTGGATTCAATGAGAAGGCCAGTGTACAGCATGCCCCAGTCCTTCTACCTATACTCAGGAACACTGTTCAGCCTAGTATCAGTACTGATAACGCCCTTGGCCTTGCAAAAGGAGGGAAGTCGAACGCGTGGGGCAATGGTCAGCAATTCCAACTTGGGGGGTATGCTCTTTGCGAGAGACATCAACTCATCGGTTGATCCTCGCCAGGTGTCCCTTCCCCGGTGCCAGGTCTCGAACGTCGCTACCTACATATATCATTGCTGGTATGATACTCAAATAGATAGAGGCCTATTTTTTGTGCTCTTTAAATCCGCCAGAGCGATAGGGAATATTTCACGAGTGCGAGGGGATTCAAGGACACACCGTTAGCGCTCCAAGTCAATTAAATGCTCTGGAGGAATTGGTTTCGGTCGTGCTCAGATCAGCAGGGCAACCAACCGCCGGGCGATTTCGCGCATCCCAAATCACCCCTGTCATTGGTTTGCTCCTGTTTCTGAACCCCTGCAAGATGACGTCGAATCTGCAATTGACAAAATTGACCCACGTTATTTTACCAGTGATTGCTTCATATTATCGTCATAGGGCTTAAGTGATTCCTTCTCAATTACCATGCTTTCATGATAAAAGTCTTGTTGCATTAACTTGCATGATGATCAAGACTCTCTAGGTACAGAGAGCTATATCTAGCTTGCGATATCCGCCGCCAAGATGTAAATGCTACCAGCGCGGCGATTTATTTCTCCCGGAGCTCAAAATTGCACGCTCTCCGATAACCAATTCGCCATAGTCTGCCACTAGCAGCTTCCCTCCATACACGGTCAATCACTCGCAACCCTCTCGAAAGTTAAATAATTTAATAAGTTACCCCCAAAACCTCAAACCCCCTCAACCAAGCCCCTCAATGGAACAAAGCGACCAAGCCGAAAGCGCCCACTCGGTATTCCGCGTCGTCCAAATCTTAACGTTAATCCCATGCTGGGCAATCCTAGCCGCCCTAATCAACGTCTACAACAAAAACGGTGTCGTCCCACCATCCGGCATTGTTTGCCTCTTCGTCGTCGCCCTCCTCGCATCGGTATGGTCCTTCTGCGTCCTCATCACCGCTATGCGCGCGCGGAACACGGCACTGTGGATGAGCTTCTTCGACATCTGCTTCATGGCGGCGCTCATAGCGGGCGTGGTCCTCCTCTCCAACATCGCCAATTCCGAATGCGTCTTCGCTCGTGTGGCGAGCGTGATATACACGACGGACGGCCAGAAGGTTTGGCAATCCGGAGGGAACAGCGGTGATGGCATCTGGCATAACGACGACAATTGCTCCCTCGCGAAGGCGGCCTGGGGCCTCGGCATCACAAACATCATCCTTTTCTTCATCACCGCTATCCTAGCCGCCGTCGTGTATAAGCAGAATGAAGAGGAAGACAATGTGGTGGAGAAGGTTTATACCACTCGTGCTGCTGATCCGTACACCCGCCATCCGAGACGTCACCGACATCGCCATAGGAGCCCGAGGACTGGGGAGTACATTGTTGAGGAAAGGCTTTAAGGAATGTCTAAGGAGGAAGAGAGGAAGTTTGTGGGACCACTTTTACACAGATTTCGAAGACACCCTTATCATATTCATACCTTTCATGTTTTCGTCTAACTTATGTTTCGCGACTCTTCACAATTCACTTTCACGCTTGTAAATAGTTGTCACTTTATGAGCAAAGGCAGGGCATAACAGCGCCTTATCAGGATATCACGTACTCAAAGTCCCTCCTCCCGGAGTCACAAGTAATGCAAAAACCCCCCAACCCCGAGTCACACGCTCGAGTACAAAGCCCACTTCAGCGCCCTAAAAATATATCGCCATCAATCGAACTAGGACCAGAACCCAGAGTCTCAGTCTCAGTACCACACGCTATCATACAATTGCGCCACCCGACCCTGGCACAAAGCTATGGATATCACATCACGGCGGCTTTTCCTCCAATTCGGCTGATTTTATTATTATTATTTCCTACCCCTTTGCTACAGGATGGTATCATAATAGTACTACTACCGTGCCAGACCTGCACAATACTACTCGTAGTCTAGTATCATATCTCTCAAGCTTACATGGCAAAGCTCCACCCCCAATCCTCCCCCCGAAATACGGCAGACCGAAACTTCTTTACTATGATACTCCTTCAACCCACCCTAAACTACACAATAGAAGTAAAAAAAAAAATACCAATACCAAAAATGATTCAGCCGGGAATCGAACCCGGGTCGGGCGCACACTGAGAAATGGCAAGCGCCCATGATACCTCTACACCACTGAATCATTAAAACACTTTATTCCCAACGATCATAAGTCGACATCGCTGGACCGTTCCGCGCAAAAGTGGCACAGCTTACTGTACTGAAACATTCCGTTAGCTGAGCGCAAGCGGATAACCACGATGCTCTCTTCCGCAAGTCCTCACGAACCCAATAACTTCTTTCCATCATACTCCAAATAAAACGGCAGATATGATACCGTACTGTACAGTACACCAACGAACCGTTTTGGCCCGGGTATTAGCTAAAAATCCCCACCAAAGCTTCAAGAATTATAGCAGCCTCGCTATTCCCCTATGATATATACCTTCCTTTCGATATCCCCGATCATCAACTAGTGGTACCGTAAAAACCCCATCTCTAAAATACAAACAACCTTTCCTGCTACTGTACGGTACGGTACCGTAGCGGTAAGTCCTTTGAAAGGGAAAAAAAAACGCCCCATATCTCGATCAACCAGAGGCAACCCCAATCACCCCATGGAAAGAAGCTCGAATTGCAAGCACCACTGCCACTCCAGTTGAGAGGTGCGGTACAGTACTTTACCTAGTGGTTTTTTCTTCGCTCCTCAGAAGACCCCAAAAACCAGGAGCCAAAAAAAAAAAAAAAAAAAAAAAAAGGGGGGGAGAGTTCGTGACCTCTCCCTCCAAGCAACCACTCGTCCGGCAGCGAAGAGATCCAAACCCAAACCCAATTTTCCCCCTATATGTGAAAGTATCATATCATGAGATCTTACTTTCCGCCTTATGTCTAAAAACCGGCTGGGGGAATTGTCAAGAGAACTGGATACATTGGTCTTGGCGCATGTTCTGACGATTTTGTACTATCATAGCACGGTACTTACGGTAGTACATCATGGGAAGCGGCGCTTTTTCCAAACTTCAACTTTACAACGTTACATGCCAAAATAGCCAGCAAATCCTATTAAGAGGCTAGGGACATATATGAGACCATGCTATCAATCCTTCAAAAATTTTACAGCTTCAGAATGTATTGAATGGAAAAGTGTGGGGGGTGGCACGGTTTTGCTCACCCGTTTCTAGCACCAGGCTCGTATCACACGTGCCCCGATAGAGATCTTAGCTAAGCCTTGTGTGCGGAATTGAGCAATCAAAGTTGCTTTGCAAGCACCTGTGAACACCTCCGCTCTGGTGGCCAAGTTGGTAAGGCGCCACACTAGTAATGTGGAGATCCTCGGTTCAAATCCGAGTCAGAGCACTGCCCATCTATTTTTTGTGTCCATATATACCGACGCCCAATCTATAATAGCAACATTCGAATTCCTACTTTCCGACAACTGAGCTGACTACTAGATCATATCCTTCTCTAACATATACCTCAAAAATTCTTGCTAAGCAGCACTTTTCTTTTACTTCATTTCTAGTTCTGCCCCTTAGGAGCTCCTCTCACCATTCTCCCATCTCTTCATTGCCTCCGCAAACTTTTTGATACCTTCCACTGCGACATCCGCTTCAGAATAACTCACCGAAACCCGAACACAATGATCGCCCCAGCCAAGCGTGTCCCCAGGGCACTCGCTCCTATCACCACCAAGCACGATCACGTCCTTTGCAGCAAGCTTTGTAATCTCATGGGCGTCGTAATTTTCTGGGAGTATGATCCACAGAAAGAATCCACCTTTACCACCATAAATGGTAGCTTCTTTTGGAAAGTAGGTCTTGATGGCAGCAATAATAGCGGCGCATCGGGCAGTGTAGGTTTTTGTAAGATTTGAGATTGCGCTATCAATTGAGCCGCTAGTAATAAGTGGGTGTATAAGGGTCGAGGCGAAGTGTGAGGGTGCGCCGCCCTGGTTATATAATTGTTAGTTTAAAGTTGAGGGGCATGGGAGGCGAGGAGGGCGATGTAAAGGGTAAGACATACACTACGGTTCGCACCGCCCTCGCCCATTTGTTTTGCCAACACTCCTGTAGCACTCTCAATCCAGCCGCACCTTAAACCTGGCCCCAATAGCTTTGAGAACGAGCAATTAGAGACCGTGTACCCGGCTTCATCGCCCCCCATTCCATGCTTCTGGCCAATCTCATGGTCCAAAGTGACAAGTCTAGGCATTAACTTCTTGTCCGGGGTAAGGGCAGAGGTATCGCCGTCATTGCCGAGAAAGTCGTACACATCATCACTAATGACGAGCATATCCCACTTCCTAGCAATCTCAACGACCTTCCTGCGGGTCTCCAAGTCCCATGTCTCCCCAGTAGGGTTCGAATACGTAGGAACACAATACATAACAAATTTGTAGATGCGCTTTGGAGCGCCGGCCCTAGAGATTGGCTCCAGGCCGCTTGGAAGCTGGACATCTGGAGCAGAGGCAGAGATACGCTCGAGGTGAGCCACCAAGGAATCGGTGTCAATCGTATTCTTGTTAAGCCTTATAGCGGTCAATTTCCCGGAAAACCCAGCGTCTATAACGGTAGCCCTCTGTTACCACACCAGTCCATCCAGGTCAAAGGTACAATTATGGGGAAGGCAAACCTTGGAACACACTTGCTGCTAAAAAGTAGGTCGGGCTAACGACGAACGCCTGCTTCGTGTACCCAGTTCCGGGACTAGTACACAGTAAAAGCGTGCTCATAAGCCCATACGATGCCCCGGGAGTGATATTAATTCTCTCCCTAGAGTTTAGGTATTCATTAGCCCTACGTCCCTAACCGTAGTTTGAGCAGATAGGAAACATACGCAGGAATGGCTTCTTTGAGCTCATATCGCTCAGCAGTCCATCTTCCAATCTCAGCACGCAAGTCCTCGTTCCCCATGTTAGGTCCGTAATGTAATGGGTGGCGAACCTGGGCATAACTATCCTGTGGAAGGTCAGAGCTAAGGACCTTAGCAGCGGACTCGCGAATCAGGTCCACTGCAAGAAGGCGGGTCGATGGGTGGCCTCGGAGGAGATCGATTGGTTTATGGAGGTTAGCAAGCATGTTGGACTGTGTACCGTACACTGTGCCGTTAGTTGGTTCTTTTGTCTCGGACTAACGCAAGGTTGGGGCGGAGGATACGATACGGATGATGAGATTTTGAGTCGGGCTAATGACGCCAGAGAGGAGAGATCAGATCCCCCTTCTCTCGAGTCTTTGTGAGCAGGGGCGAAACCCAGAATTGTCAGAGAAAGGGAGGAGGGGGCGGGGTTACTGCGGCGTTGGAACCATACCGGGTTCGCCATGCGCAAATAGGTTTGTGTTCTCAGGAAAGATGTTTATCAATGGAAAGGTGTCATAATCTAACAACCCGAGAAAGGCCACAACCAGAAAGTTTAGAGCTTGAAATCGAGTTCCACTAACGACATAATAAATGCTCAAAACAAACTATTCTGCGATAGCCTCACATAACCGTAGACTGGGCAACCACGTCGGATTCACTTAATCGCTCTAGAGCTCAAGGATATGAAATCGAACCCCCATAGCCTCGCACCAAGCCACTCCCAGGAAACAAAAAAAACGTGAAGAACAAGCCCCAGTCACAAGCAATAAACACCCAATGAGCCAAAAGCAAATTTTCGAACCCTCAAACCGCACAAATAATTATAAAATGCCCTCCTTACCATCACTATTGCTAGCTAACTGCAACACAGGAGATAAAGGTCTTTTTTCCCTCTCCATAGCCTGCATGCTCCAAACCTAGAGCTCCTTCTTGGCAACTCTCTCTCCACCAGTAGCTTCGGCATAGCGGTCAGACAACGCATTGAACTCTCTGGTCAACCCTTCCGCCTGCTTCCTCATAACCTTAGTATCTCTCTTTGCGGCGGCCAATTGCTCCTTAAGTTCATCAGCACCGCCTTCAGCCAGCTTTGCATTATCGCCCCTCAACTGCTTAACAGTGGTATGGAGCTGCAAGTTCTCAAGAGTCGAAGCGTAGGTGCGATCAAGGATGAAAGACAAGAAGAGAGTGAATCCACAAAGGTACCTATGCACGACCATACTCTGTCAGCACAACGGTCCCTAGACAGGGGAGGCCCCCATACATGTTACGCTGAGAATAGAACTTCCTAGCCTGAACCTCCATGCGTTCATGTCCCATAACGCTTTGACCTCCCATATGTTTACTCTCCGAGAGCTCGGACTGAACACGGTAGACGCGGTTGACGGAGTCGACGAACAGGATCAAGATGAAGACGAAGGTAATCTATTTTTTGTCTCGTTAATACCCAAGTCACTTGTCTATTCAGGCAAGGAAAGGAGGAAAGTCAACCTTAAGACAGTACTGTATCTTTCCCACAACTGCACTCGTCGAAATCCAGGTGAAAAACCGCATCCTCGGGGAGTACGGGACCGGTAAGACCATGAGAAGGTAGACTGCCATCTCTACCATGAGTAAGACAAATACCTGCGTAGACGCATCCCGTTAGCAAAGTTGTTTGTTTGTTTGTTTACTACGTCACAGCTCCACAGTAAAAACAATAGAGCAAAGTACTCGAGTAGAGTGAACGTGTACGTGAAAAGACAACAAACTCGTCTCCACCCAATCGGACGATGGGTAGCAAAAGGTATATATACCAAAGAATAGTAGAGCGTCATGATGGCTCGCTATGAAAAAACAGTTAAGTGATTTTTTTTGTAACTTTTATCCAAAGCACAGTAACCCGTACTCGGTTGTGCAGCGTGGGTATCGTGTAAAGCAGTTGAACGTCTCAGTGGGAGTTGGTATCGAAGGGAGAGACAACAAGGGACCGTTGAAGGAGAAAGTCGTAGGGTTGTGAGGGGAGAAGGTGGAGGAGCAAGAAGGAAGAAATTGCGGGCTGTGGGCTGGCTTGACTGGCTGGTCTCAAGCTGTGTGAAATTGGGAAAGTGGCTTTATCCTTACCTTGTTTATGGTGCAAGCCACATGTCACCCAGACAACTCATATCATACGTCACTCAAAGTAAGGCAAACTAACTTTATCATACCGGCCAAGGCTACGGCTTCGTCAGATAATTTACAGGGACCAAGTTACTTGTATGATACTCGTACGTGCGAGCTGCTCGAGTAATAGTCACCGCTTGCGGGATATAGTTTGGAGATGTCGTCATGTCACCTTCACGGTCACCAGCCCAACCTCTATCTTCGCGACATAGGTACTGTACCCTGAGTAGATGAAAGATATCACAGACTTCAAAGCACAATAATTACCTTAATCGCCCCGGTCGAGATCTGTCGCAAAACTAACTTGAGCAAGGGCAAATGTATTTTACAAATAACTTTTAACACTTTATCAGACCCACTGCTATTCAATGCCTGCGCCAAAAAGCCTCGCAAAAATGAAAAGCTTGTAGTGGGATATGATATCGCATAATGTTGAAGCCTATCCCCAAACTAGACTACCCTTCGGCCTCAGTCTCCTCATGTGCATTACTCTAATCCACTTGTTAGCCATCCGTCTCTCAACCAAGACATAAAGTTATCACGCAAACCTTATGCTTAGGTGTAAAGTGAAAGTCACTCGGACAAGGACCCAGAAACATCTCTGATATCTTGATCCAATCCTTATAGTCCGAGCCACCAAGCAAGCACTCCAATTCATTTCTTCCCTTCCATGGGGGAGGTCTGTCCTGAATCCGAGGAGGCAACCTCTCGAGAATCCCAATGGGTACGTATCTACATCCAAAGCTGAGCCACTCGAGGAGGAATCTACGGGTAGTAGCAACACCGAGTTCGTCGCTGCCCCAGCATTCAAGACCGTATCGAACGTACTCACGAATGTAGTCTAAGCGCTCGGTGGCAGACTTATCCAAATACTGACCTTTTTGGATTTCCTCAAAGAGCCAGGGTTTTATCAGAGCTCCCCTTGCAAGCATTACTCCATCAACGTTGCCTTGATCAATGGAATTATAGTAGTCGACGTGAGAATAGCAATCACCATTTCCTACAAAGAAGACATTCGGTTTATCTCTAGCCTCCTTATCAATCGCTGTGTCGGCAGTTGTGTCAGACCTCCGCTTAAAATCTTTGATCAGCGCCGCAGTCTCGGCAATATACGTCCAGTCGGCATCCCGAGAGTATCGCTGCTGGCGACTCCTGCCATGAAGCGTAATAGCCTGGACATCCCCAGCATCGTAGATCCTCTGGACAAGTTTCTTAGCAACGGGCGAGGAATCTCGAGTTCCTAACCTAATTTTACACGTTATTGGTGTTTCCCCAGAGACATAATTCATTCCTTTGAGCATCTTGATTAACTTGGATGGCTGATCCAGAAGTGCACTACCTCCACCTTGACGGTATACAAGGTCAATTGGGCATCCACAGTTCAAGTCAACAAGTGACAGCCCATGACGAGAAGAGGCGGCCGATGGGAACAAAGTTGTCAAGACTTCTGTCGCCCGAACCGCCGTTCCAATCTTAGTGCCGCAAATCTGAGCACCAAAATTCGGAATTTCAGATGCATGGGCCCTTAATAGAGCCCACTCTGGCTTGTGGCCCTGGAGGAGGGGAACAGACATGGCCATTTCGGAGTAGGTAAGGGCAGCACCAAGACGAGAGCATAGACGGCGGAAAGGAAGGTTGCCCGTTGTTCTAGAAACCTATTAGCGTTAATCGCAATCGCACTTAAGCAGGGACCCGACCTACGTTAAGGGAGCCAACAACGGCGTTTCCTTTCCAATGTATATTCTTCTTTTCTCCGCCGCATTCACGGGTGCATCCACAAAAGAAGCTCTGGCATCGCCCTTGTCCTCGTAACCCAAACCATCCCGTGTAGTCTTCTCTTTATGTTCCCATTCCGCATAAACCTCGCTCTTCTTAGTCGGAAATTCGTTCTTCCTCAGTCGGATCTTCAGGCTCATCGGGACAGAATTAATAATCTCTCCGTATGGGTCATAAAAACCCCCAATAGGGACCTCTTCCTCCCACTGCTGCGGTCTGTCATCTCCAAATCCTATGATAACCTTTGAATTGGCAAGCTTTGCCTTCCGTTCCTCTGCAATCTTCTCTCCATACATCTTCTTCTTTCCCTCGTCAACAACCATATATAATTCGCCATTCTCATCTTCCTTAGAATGCGACCCAACCCATCTGCATCTCCACCCACTTCCGCAATATCCCCTTAGTTCCCAAACCGGACAAACTCCTTCGGAATCATCCCGCTTGCTCTTCAAATACTCCCGTAGATTGTGTGAGAAACCGCACTTTTTCGACAACCCATCCGGCTGTACCCATTCCTCCTCTTCCCTCCCCTCCATAATCTTATCCTCTCCTGTCGCCTTCCCCACCTCGACTTCTTCCTTCTTCTTCCGCCGCTGCCTCGCCTTCTGACCCTTCGGCCGAGCATTCAACGCGAATTCACAAACAGTCCCCTCGAATAGACCCTCCCGCGGAACCATAACAAGGCTGTTACACAGTTTAACTTCATCGTTCGCGAAATGGAACTTCCTCGCTTTATTCTGTCCGCGCTCGTGTTTACGTTTTTTCCCTCCGCCACCATTCTCTGCCTCTTGGTAGTGGTGGTGGTGGGCAGCCCCGACTGCGTCGTCATCTGCGGATGCGGAGATGGCTTTCCGAGCCTTGGGGAGGAGGTACCTGTGCGCAGGGAGAAGACTACTGTTAGCACTATTTTACTCGAGAACCTGGAGGAGGGGTGGAAGGTAAGTACTCTGGTTTGATGTCAGCGACGCCAGCATGAGAGTCCCTGGTGTCGGAGAGCTTGATCTTCTTAGGGGCGGGGGATGACACTTCCTCGGCCGCCGGGCGGGTATCCGAGGGAGGTGGTGATGCCATTGATTGTGCTCGGTTTTGGGAAAACCTTTGGAGGGGTGGATGCAGGCGGGAATGGTGGGAGCAAATTCGGGTGTCTGGGTCTTTGTTGGAGGGAACTATTTTCTTTTCTTTTTGGCTGGGTGATTGATAAGATTAGATGGCTAGGGTTGCAGATTCTATTCATCCAATGACATCCGTGATCCATCGAGTGAATTTCCATGACCCAAACACACGACCTACTCTAGACTAGTCCCACAATAGAACAGAACTAGTAGACCATACCCCGGAGTCCAACCGCAACCCCACTAAAAGAAATGCACTGCCACCTGCGAGGATCCTCACAGTACTCGTAGTAACCAGGAGGAATCACTTCTAACCTCAATTGGTAGTATTAAGTGTGATGGGAAAAAAGTTAACAAAACACAGATTCCGGCCTGTGGTAGTGCTCAGAGGTTCATAAAGTTTCGTTGTGGTACCCTGTTAAACCTACATAGGCACTCTTATCTTGCAGCTAGTCCTTCTGGAGACTGATATCATGTGCCCCGAAAAAAAAAAACACTGCCACTAGGTACCTAGTGGTTAAATACGTCCTTTGAAACGGTAAGAATGATCATATCATTGTTCAATGGACCAGACTACCCACTGGTCCATTGACCCACGGAGATACCCTCTTTCATAAAAGAAGAAGAGAGCAATGCATAGACTATGCCATTCACCATAGTCCCAAAAAATCACACTAAATTACTTCATCCCCCCTCCCGCTCTCCGCGGAAGGCTCTCACTAGTCCATGATATTGAGAACGACCTATTCCACCATATAAACGCACCCTTCCCTCTAGCAATCAAGCAGCAATATTCCACTCTACCCTGCGCCGAATACAAACAAGCACTTTACAAACAGAAATGGATATCCAAGGGAGTTGCCATTGCGGAGAGCTCGAATGGAAAACCAGCTTCCCGAACCGTTCCCTGCCAGAAAAAACAATTTGTCATTGCGTATATCCTCCCTCGTTTCCCACTTTTTTGCTTATAGTAGCGCTGGCTAAATAGCCCACCAGAATACCTGCAAGTCCTTGGGCGGTGGTTGCTACTCAGTCAACATGGTGGTTCCAAAAGTACCCCTCCCCCATTCTCCCCCCTTCTCTCCCCAACCCGCAACGTATGCTAACCCAACCCAGGGCTACGTGGAAATAACCAAAGGCAACCCAGGAAAATACACTTATACCGGTGAAAGCGGAAACCGCGTCCATTGCGTACCTCTCCCCTCCCTCAGCCTTTCCCTTCCTCCACACCTTCTAACATAACAATTAGTATTACTGTCCGAAATGCACGACGCATGCGTATCACCACCAAATGGTCTCCCCCGACAATTTTGTCATGCGCCCGGGGCTTTGGGAAAATGAGGCAGCGCAGGAAGCTGGAATTGTGAGGGAAGTTTTCGCGAGACATCGGTGCCCGTTTCAGCCAGAGATTGAGGGTGCTACTGTTGAGGATTAGGTATGCGCGCGTGTATATAGTGGTTGGTTGGGTGGTGTAGGGAAGAGAGGAATTGTATCGTATGATAGGACGTTAGTCTGTAGAAATCTATTTTGGCGTGGATACATCCTGTGGTGTTTGAGGTACTGGATGTGACGATGGGTGACGTGCATTCGACGATCATTGAATGACTTTGACTTGTGAATTGCGAATTACCGGTATGATGAAAGGCATGATAATATATTATGATAGAGGAATGGGTAATTTCAGCGCTGGAACGAATCCTCGCAACCTTTCTAAGCTATGAATACAGAAACCCCCTCACCCACCTCCCTTCTCGCTCACCACACACTCAGTGCTGCTTGTACTCCTTCTGCAGTAACTTTGCGATAGTCTGCAGTTGGATATTGCTAGTCCCCTCATAAATTGCACCAATCTTTGAGTCCCTCCAGTACTTCTCCGCCAGTCCCTCCCTAACGAAACCCATTCCACCCATCCATTCGATCGCACTGCCACTAACCTTCTGCGCGACCTGGCTAGCATAAAGCTTCGCCATGGCGGCCTCCCGTACGAAGCCCTCGCCGGCACGGTGACCGCCAGCTTCCTTCGTTCGGACGGCATTGAAGAGCAGCGCGCGCGCAGCCTCGATTTCAGTCCTGGCTTGTGCGATCTGGAATTGCATTCCTTGAAAGTCACCGATGTATTGGCCGAACTGCTTGCGCTCGTTCCAAACGTACTTGACGGCGTTCTCCCAAGCGCCCAGGGCCAGACCGGTCATTTGGGCAGCGATACCGATGCGGCCTTCGTTCAGGAGGGAGATGGCATATCTATCCATCGCTCTCGATAACGTGCACAGAGGGCAGAGGATGGTGAAAACTTACTTGTAACCTTCTCCTTCCTTCCCAAGTAGATTCTCTGCAGGAACCTCAACGTCATCGAATGTCAAAACACATGTTGAACTAGCCTTGATCCCCAACTTCTTCTCTTTCTTGGCGATATTGAACCCAGGCATTCCTTTTTCAACCACGAATGCCGTTATTCCCTTGTACCCTCTCTCGGGGGCGATATTTGCAAAGACAATGAAGACCTCACTCTCGGCGGCGTTAGTAATCCACATCTTTTGTCCAGTGATTTTGTATGAGCCGCCGGATTCGGACTTGACGGCTTTAGTTTGCAACGCGAAGGCGTCACTGCCAGACGCCGGCTCCGAAAGGCAGAAGGAGCCGACGGTGCCCGTAGCAAGCTTGGGCAGGTACTTCTTTTTCAACACCGCAGAACCGTACGTGCGGAAGGCGGTATTGACTAGAGTGTTGTGCACGTCTACCAGCACGGAGACCTGTAGTTATTACCGGCCGCCGCCAAAATCAGCACCCTGACCCTCCCGAATGCCCTCCTCCAGCAGGATGAGTACTGGACTTACGGAAGGGTCGATCCTGGCCAATTCTTCAATCGCAACAACGACCGCTCCAAAACCCATTCCAGAACCACCATATGCTTCTTCAACTTCGACTCCCATGAGACCTTGCTCAAATAGCTGCTCCACGATGGATTTGTCCATCATTTCATTCTCGTCCATCTCCCTTACCTTCGGGAGAATGACTTCTCGGGCGAAACGGCCCACGGATTCCTTCAGCATGTCCTCTGTCTCGGTGAAGTGGAAGATTGGCGTAGGGTTTACATCGGAGAAATACCTGCATGGGGTATTTTGTGCGGAGAGTAATCCAGGTCGTAGGAGCAGCGAAGGGCGACGAAGGCCCCTAGGGATGGCAGTGCGGAGGGCGAGGGTAGACATACTCGCGTAGTGGCAGCTAGGTAGGGCCGGTAGTGGGGGCGGAGGAGGTGTGTAGGTGTGAACCAGTATCGGTGCAGAAGGATGAATGGAGATTTGAGTGTCCTGGTTTAAAATCCCCCAGCAAAGAAGTTAGGGAACAGAGGGAGGAAGGGAGAAGGACAAGACGAGAAGCGGTCGGAGAGGAATAAAGGGTACCTTGGGAGAAAGGGAACGTCAGATATGCTCAAGCGGAGTGAGAGCGCCAAGCGCCCCACAAGTACCGGTATTTGGGTAACTTTATAATAATCCCCGAAGCCGATACAAAGCGAATTCGGTCAACGAGAAGGAACATGTGATACCGTATTTGCCTTCCAGTTCTGGACTGTACGAGTAAAGTACCAGGTCAAATCGTTTCGTCCGGCGATGCAACTGCAACTCCACCACCACTATAAATTTACTACCTATGCAACCACAACTACCCAGAATGAAGTGAAAATTTAGTTAGAGATTCAATAGATATAAGAAAATTCTCATGTGAATTTATAGAATAAAAAAATCAATACTTTGTGCACCATTCCTTTGCATCTAAAACAGCAGCCACTCTCCTAGGCATAGACTCCTACAGCCTTTCCAAAAAAAACCCCTCTATATCATGAGTCCAAACCTCATTAAGAGCTTCTGCTAAATGTCTTCTAACAGTTTCTAGGCTACCCTTAGTCTTATGAATGTCAGGAAAGCACTAGTGTAGCTTTTCCTTTACCCTCTTCCAACAGTGCTCAATAGGATTGAGATCAGGGGAATTCAGTGGCCATTCCATAACCTGTATGTTGTTTTCCTCAAACCAAGCCATAGTATCCTTTGCAGTATGTATCTTTACACCATCCTACTGAAATATAGGATCCCCAACTGTGTCCTCCACCTCCTGCCAGGTATCAACTAAACCATCTTCCAAAACTACAATATATGCAAATCTGTTCACACTCTTCTCAAAAGTGGAAACCAGAGGACTTTTATTTTTAGCCCAAATACAAGCCCATACCATCAGCTTTATCCCAGGACCTTTTGTAACCCCATAAATGCAGTCCTTGTGTCACTTTTCCTCAGGTGTTCTGAATATCCAAATACCCTTAGAATCTTTGGTCCAATCCTTATGCTCCATACCCTAAGCTAATCTCTTGCCAGCATGCTCATCTTCCCGAAGAGCTCTCTTCCTTGCTCTTCACTTCTTTATATTGACTGATGCCAAAGCTCTATTGACAGTACTCAGAGAGGTATATGGTATAACATCATTGCACAATTCTGACAGGGTTTGGTGGTGCGCCTTCTTGGACTCTCAGGCTAGGCAGTGGCAGGTTCTGTTATCGATAATTTTGTGTCTTCCTGGTGTTGGAAGATTTTTCTCATCACCCCTCTTTTGATAGCGCTTATGAAAACTGAGAACTGTACTCTTTGAATGGTTTAAGAGCTTCCAAATTTTAGCAAAAGAGAATTCTTTTTTTCTCAGAGTAACAATTTGCCCTTTCTCAAAGTCTGAAGATGGCCGGTCTTTTCAGAAGGCATTGTTGTTGAGGGGTGGTTGATCAGTGGAATGGGGTTTTTTGAGGTGTTGTTCGGTTACCACCGATCGGACGAAACGATTTGATCTAGTACTGTACTGTACCTGACTGCAGCACCGGCAACCCTTTTTAACTATCTAAGCGTTATTGGTAATTTTTCCCTGTTAGGGGAGGCTCAATGCTTGCAGAGAACGATTCCGATCATGATACCTCTCTACGCGAGTAGATTGTGAACCGAGAATGAAGTATCGTACCGGTATCATACCGTAGACTACGATACGAGTATTATACCGGTATTTTTGCTTTCGATTCCACCATCCTTCGTTCAGAGAATGACTCTTCTGAAAAGAACCACTCTGGTTTGCTGTAAATTCCCTTGAAGTGGCTAGAATTCTTCTCAGCTTCGAGATAAGCCAAGGACATTCCTCTAGACTGCCCGGTTTATTCGTGCATTGAACAGCACAGAACTCACCCGGCAGCCAACTCCTGTACGAGTACTTGTACTGCAGTGCCGGGCTACCGAACCGGCAAACCCGCTCAAGTCTCAATCCCGGTACGATACCATATCCACAGACTGCAATGAGCACGACAGACACAGAGGGATCATCAGAAAGCTTGTCTGACAACATCGGTCATCCAGGTCTCCCATAGGTACGGGAGCACTGCTCGAGTGCTGTACTCGTAGTGTACGAGAGTGCCGGTAGCCACAAAGTGCTCAAGTATCGACGGTTTCACTATTCCGAAACCATTCACCCCATTTCTAATCAGCCAGCCACCTAACTTACCGGTAAATTTATGATACATATCACAATTATCATACTGTAGTGTACGGTAGGGTACGGTAAGGTACATCATAGGTTTGGGGGAAAAAGCACCACCCACCATAGTAATTTGATAAGATTATCGAGGACCCCCCCTTTCTGTATGATAGCACAGACTCTGTTCCCTCATGCATTAAATCTCTCATCCAGGTTCCTCTTTCACTCCGTTCTTTTTTCTTTTCCTTTTCTTCCTCCTCCCGTGTTTCCAATCCATTTGATCCCGCTTTCCCGTGGTTGGGGAGAAAAGAGCGCAAACCTTCCCAAACCTTTTCGCCTCTTCCACCCTTCACCCCTTCCTTTTTCCACCGCCTATCCTCCCTCTCCTTCCTTTCGCTATTGTATCCCGCAACCATTGTCACCCCGTCAACCAGCACAATGATCCCCTCAGTCTCATTGCTCCCCGTACTCTCGTTGCTCTTGCAGTCCATCAACGCGGCTCCCCATGACACCGACAAGCTTGTGCGTCGTTCGGATGATGCATCGACCACCCCAACGCCAACCGCGTGGGTAAGCGTCTTCGGCGATGGATCTGTCACCACTGTGACGCCGAGTGTTAAGACCGATAGCTCAGGTAACCCAACCGAAACGATCGACGCGAAGCCATCCGAGACAGCCTCTAGCGACGGTGATCAAAGCGATAATGTTGTTGCACGCTGTGATAGCTCGAAATACGAATTGGGGAAGACCGGGAATGTCCAACCATGGGTTCCATTCTGTGCACCGCACAACGGAACTGAATGGTGGGTTGACGGTAACTACTATGTTACATGGAACCCGAAACACTGGACGAGAAATTCAACTGTTAAAATCATCTTGAACTACGCCAATCCCGGTCGCGGCGGCAAGGTCGCCAAATTGGTTTGTCCCTCTTCTCCGAATTCTAGTATTCCGAGCATGCGATTAACCCAGAATCCAGTGGGAAACCGCCAACTCCTTCGGCCTCATCAACATTGAACCCTCCAAGGATTGGCTTGTGAACCGAACAGCTTTCGATGACGGTAACAAAAGGACTGTCGAAAACCAAACAATGTACTTCACAATTGCCGACGACTCCCCAAGCGGCACACAACCCAATGTTGAAACCGGCCCCACCATCATCCTAACCTCCCGCCCGAGCCCCGCACCTATAGATAAATCCCCCAGCAACCGACCTCCCGTCTCTATCCTCGGTCTGGCGGTTGGCCTCCCGGTCGTCTTTGTGTTTGTCGTCGGAACAATCCTCTCCCTGCACTTCTGCATGAAGAGCAAGCGTACGGTTGGACCTATCTCCATTGGCGGCGGTCGCAGACACTTCTCCAAGAGGGGATACTCCGGTCGTGCGGTACGCAGGCAGAAGGCCGCAGTCGCGGTGCGCTCTGGGGATTATAGAGATGAACCCGGAGAAGAGATCGCACCGGCTGGAGGTATCCCGCCGAAGAGGGACGAGTGGGAGTTGACGAGCGTGCAAGGTGGACGGTAAAGCGCTTTATATAGTTTTCGGACGAAGATGAGTATGTGGAACGAAAGTGTACGATTAATATGGGAATGAGTTATTGTTCTCCTTTTTCCTCTCCTCCTTCCTTTCCCATTTCCTTTACAGTTGCCCTTTAGCCCCCTTTACGCGCGTGGAATGCCTACCATACCGAGCACTCTTGAGATGAACGGATGGCTGGATGGAGGGACGAAAGACCAACCAACTAACTAATCAACTCATGCCCCCACACCCTATCTAAATGGAAGACATGTTTTTGATGATTTCGTGAATATGTAATAGGCAATTGTACATTCTATTCATAGCTTCCTATCAATCACAGAAGAATTAAGTTGAGATAAAAGTAGATGCTATCCATCACTAAATCTTTCTTGGTTAAGTCATTGTATTGATCTAGGGGACTTTTTAGAGGCAACGTTGTGATATCATGCCATATATTTTGAAGGGTCCACTATCTTTTTCGTTTTTCGCTTGACTTGAATGACTAGCATGACATGCTATGTGTCCGACCAGCGGACCGCTTCAGCAGGCGACAGTACTCGAGTACACAGCAAACCACAATACCAGTAGCACAGCCAAAGCGGAGCGTGGCACTTGCGATGACGGGACGGGCAACCAATACCGTAGTCTATCCCGACTGGCATCGTGCAAGTACTGTACTCGTACAGCACCAGGGGGTTGCCAAAGTCGGCCAAATAACGCCTATTCCCTACCCAAGAAGCTCAACGTTCGAACCCCAACCCGGCATATCCATCCAGCACGAGAGTAAAGCCAACCCGCAGCGACAACCTGCAGTAATCCCGACTCCACAAATGCAAAAAAAAAAAAAAAAAACCCACAGGCGGATCACGGCAATCAAGCAACATTCGACCGCTGATCCAATCTCATACAGTACCGTACACATGCCTTGCGACGGCGTCGCACCGTTATTTTGTCCACCCCCAAGCACTGTATGATACACAGCACCCATATCAGGACCTTATTGTTTATTATAGCTGCCAGCACAGTACAGTACTAGTACAACAACCAAAATTTATGCCATGCCATGCCTTACTTCTTTGTAATACTTTGGGGTTGTTGTTTTGCTTTTTTTGCTTTTTTTGAGGGAGATTCCACTGGATTATTGCGGCGGGTAAATTTCATTATTATTGATATATTTGTCGGGTTCTGGTTGCGTGATGTGAGTGTCGTGATGATGAGGGCTGGTTAGACTAGGGATTTTCTGAAAATTCTGTCGGGTTCCTGTCGTGTGATATGTTGTGAATACTAGCGAGAGAGTTCGAGTGCGGTGGCTAAGAGTATCATCACATCGGGCTGGTACGGTGTTGAGTTCACTTGTCAAACCGAGGTATGATAATATTATGGTATACAGTGCAGGGCTATTATCCTTAGACGAAGGGCTCTGTTCGAAGGGTGGGTCGGGAGGGATTGGAGGATTGATTCAACTACGGTAGTGATGCCTAGCTTGACGAGTTTGGTATGGTACTGCACGCTGGTACTGTACGAGTAACCTACAGAACTCGAGTATGATACTGCTGCTGGTAATATTTCGCATCATGAGATATCACTCCCAACTACTCTAAATCCGCCACCGCAGGGCGTTTTACATTACTGCTATGGCAGGGTTTCGAATTCTTAAGTATATACGAGAAAGTTAGTGTTATAAAATGTACAGCCACCAATCAGTCAAATCCAGGTCATTTTCTCATGGACCTCTGCGGACGCCATGCTATTCCTGTTAGTCCCTTGACTGCTACCAACACCAACACTACCACCACTACTGCTGCTGCTAGCGCGGATACTCCCACGGTGGCTAGGACCTGGCACCGCGATCCCAACTTTCTCCAACATACCCGCAAGACTATTTCTATCGTTCCTATGCCAGAATTAGCACATTATTCTTCCCAAACACCACGCAACAGATCCCGGGGGAAACAGCAACATACTCTCCATCGGCTGGCAACTCGAATGGGTTGCCATGACTATCCCTATCCCTGGTATACACCGGGGCGCTCCCGGGCAGCTCCAACGCAGCCTTATTCCTCCCCTTGCCCAGATTACCCAACAATTCCTGGAACGTGCTCAGCGGGACGTGTGTTGTGGGTTCCAGCTCCGCTGCGTGGGTCTCTTCGAGGCGGAGGCGATTCACACCTGCCCTTCTAATCTTGTAGATTTGTATCGCCGCCAAGGTGATGAATAGGAGGAGTATGGTGGAACCGATGGATATGCCGATTATGGCCTGTTTGGATAGTGGAGCTGAAGAGGGGGGGGGTAGACGAGAGATTGTGGAATTGGTGGAATTGGAAGGGGAGGGGAGTTGTTGGGTGAACACGGCTTCGAGACCGCCCGCCCAGCTCGATCTAGGGGATTTTACGGTTGCGGCACCAGTTTCACTAGTAGTAATATCCCTCGTCAGTACTCCTCAGTTTTCATTCTGAAAGGGAGTGTGTGGGGAAAACACATACTTCCCGCCAATTCTGGAAGAAATTAAGGAAGAAATATTATATTTTTCGTATCCTGGGTTGAATATATTTGACCACGTCATATTCACCATGTTGAAGAGCGCTACCCCATTGGGCTCCCAATCGCAGGGCCCAGGGACTCCGAGCTTTGCTTTGTGCCCGCCGATAGTCATCATCATTCGGTTTCCCACCACGTGGCAGGTGTGTGCTTCGCGCTCGTCATTGCCAGGAAAAGCGCTTATCCATTGGAAGCTTGGGAGGGAAAGGATGTAGACATCGTCGAATTTGTTGACTCCGTCCCAGCCACCGTACATGTAACTGTTATCATTGATTGACATGTCAGCCACACCTAGAGGAGGGGAGAGGTTGGCAAGAAGATGATGGGTGATTACATGTTCCAACTAGTATTATCCGGCGCCGGAGCACTGACAACGCAGAAATCTAGTCTTGCTGGAGGTACTTCGCCAGTTGCGGTCTGGTTGTACCACCCCTTGCCCCCAGTATCTAGAGATTCGATGTCAAAAACACTTATTTCATTCATTGGTGACTTGTATGTGTCAGTGTGGGTATGATTCTGAGCCGACTAGACATGAAACTCACCAATGATCCTAATATCACTCAGTCTGTTAGTTACTGCGCTCCGTCAAGATCACTTGATTCTAAGAGAGACAAACCTCTAAAATTATCGTCCGCTTCCCCAATAGGCTTTATTGACCCCCCAAACAACACCAAGATTCCCTTCCTCCCAATTTCCGGAATATATATCATCTGAGCATCCGCCCTCCCAGCCCCAACCAGGTCCGTAGGCAAAGCCCTCGCGGTACCATTCTTAAGATCAAACACATAAAACTCATTCGAGAAATTTATCGCTGTAGAGTCCTGCGTATCCCGACTCGTACCGTTATCAGTCTGCCCACCATAGTAAAATGCTAACCCTCTGTCCTCCACAACGGCGTTAGCACCATTTGATAGCCTAGGCACTTTCCTCCCATCACTCGACCTCAGTGGTTGGGGCGACCATTCTAAGGATAGCGTGTCGAAGCGCCACAGTACCGTGTCTTCCGCCTTCGGGGACTGGTAGTCTAAGAACGAGTCGTTGAGACGGTTGGTCGATCCACCATAGAGGTATAGGGAGTCCTGGTATGGCCAGAGTGCCCCTCGGGAAAGGGCCGGTGGGGCATTCCGGTTTGAAGGGACTCGTTGGTCCGCATCGAGGATTTCAAAGGGCATAGTGGTCGTCCAGTTCCATTGTTCGTTTAGTGTCAGGGAGATGAGGTTTTTGTCTGGTGCTGGTCAGGAGGAGAAATACAGCGAGGTGAAAGCGGAGAGGGAAGATGTACTAAATCCTACTGGCCTGCCTCCGGCTTTTTGAAAATCCTTATCCCTGGTTTTGCTGTCCCAGAATACCTGGACTCCCCCATCAATGTATACCTTTCCATTCAGAACGGCCGCTTCAATATCGTTAGTTTCAAGGGCGAGAATACATGACGTGAATAAGACAATCACGAAGCAATCGCTTACATTGATGATCCCACCGACTACAGAAATTCCTAACCGGGTCAATATCCTGACCATCCACGCCCAAAATAAACAGAGCCCCAAATACTAAAGAGCGGACGAGGCTGGAAGCCCCAATATTTCGGGAGCCAGTCATGAGAATCTGTCGTTCAACAACAGTGAAGCACCCGGTGAAATAAAAAGAATGACAATTATGCAGAGCACCGGGATAGACAAGGTAGTTCCGGCCCACCAACGGAAATAAATGAAGGGAGGGGAGAAGGGGGAGGAAAGCGATCAGGACATGGAGGCTTTAAACAATGTGGAATCACTCCTACTTCGTCTGATGCTGAGGGGGTGTTCCCGCTGCAAGCTTGTGATCTCACGTTTTCAGTAAATTCCCCAGCTGTATAAAAAGAATATTTGTAGTACCCGCACGCATGCGGTATTCCGCGCTTGCTTATGCCCAGGCCAAGCCCAGCAGATTCAGGCGTTGCACGTCCATCAAACGAGTCGTTTCTGCGACAAAGCCTGACGGATGGAAAAGTGTGAGATGCCAGGAAAATCCCATTGCCATAATCTCAACGAAATCCGTGTGGGAGGTAAGAGCACCGTAGCCAACTTTCGCACGGCTAGGTAATTGAGAGATTGCTCTTACGCGGTATGTGATAAGGTGAGACAAAGTTCTCTGTCTTGCACTTTAGTTTGCCGAATAACGTGAGCGCGGAGTAATACTGTATCATACTGGGTAGAACAGTGACCAATATCTACTTCTATTTTGGTGGTTGCGGTAGAGTTTCGAATGATTGGTTCCTGTAGCGCCCAAGGGGTTTTCTGGAGTTTGATAGGCTAATAAGTTTACCCCTTTGGGGCGGTTGTGGGAGTACAAGAGCCTCTAGAGAGTTTAGCCCCAGGTACAATTCCATCTCTCCCTCCTGAAGTGTCTGTCTCCTCATGCTATCGCAGGCTCCAAAGTTCTTTCGTTTTCTCGAAAGTAGGGATAATTTATCCCTGCGTCCCGCTCAACGGTCGTTACACTGTCACATTACAAATAATCAGAACACAGCAGCGGAGTAATTCAATTAGGCCAATCTAATTAGGGGAGCACAGTAATATCATAGCTTCACACTCCCAGAAGTCCATCCCTATTATTCCCTCCTCCTCTTGATCATTATCCCAACATCCACCAGAACCTAACGCTACATCCCAGCATTACAACGTAACCAAACTAACAAGAATCCCAAGAAAGACCCTTAGGGCTACCCACCTGTCCTGCCAGACCATAGAGCATTGTCTTCATTGCTAGCTCTACCTCGTACTTCAGTAATGTTCTGTTGAAACTAGAAAGGTCTTGTGCTGGCCCTCGCTTCGAGTCTAAGCATTCAGTGCCTGTGGGCGTAGTGCTGCGTGGTGTGATAAACCCGGGATCTGTTGCAAAGGTGGTTTGGCTAATCTCAGATTCGTAACCCTCCTCGTTCCCCGACTCGTACTGAACAGTATCACTCCCAGTGCTTTGGTAGCTGGATCGCCCTACGCTATGCTCTCCTGTGAAATCCCAACAAGGACTAAATGGACTCAAGGGCCCAGAACTACCTGAAACCCCCCCGCGATGCATTCCCCCTTCAGCTGCAGTGACAAATGACTCGCGGTGTATCGTAGAGGTTAAACAAGTGGCCTGTGTTTGCCCTACATATTTAGGGTTGGACAGAGGTTGGGGCACAGGTGTGGGTTTGGAAAAGATCCGTGGGCTTAGTGTAGGTATCTGCAATTTCCCAGATTCCGGAGTTTTTACCAGCGCAGTTGCCGAGTCCTGTTCAGCTAACGGTGCCTGCGGCAAAGGGGGCCCTGATAGCACCGAATCCGCCCGACCCCCGGGTCGCAGGCGCCACTCAGATCCAGCCCCCAGCGAGCTATCCCGGATTCCTAGAGCAATTCCTATCTCACTATCCCGTGGATTAGGCGAGGGTTTGGGTTCGGTCTCCGTTTTTTGGGCGAGTGAAGCCCATAACGCTACTAGTGCAGGTTTAGGTGCTAGCAGTGGTGCTTGATCGGGGGGCATATTTAGTGGGGTTTCCACAGAGTGTAGTTTTTGAGAGTCGCATTTGATGTCGAGCTCCTGATGCTGGCTATCAAAGTCGAGGCCTTGGTCGACAGAGATGGCCCCCCTTCCGCTGTCCCACCCATAGCCCACAACCTCCTTCCCCTTCTTGCCACCTTCCTCCCTTTCTTGTAACATTTCACCCAACAACTCCTCAGTCTGTTTTAACAGGCTCACGACAGCGCCCTGCCGTGAAAGAGCATGGCTTGGTCCGAGCAAAGTACCCTCTCTCCCAAGTTTTCCCGTCGAGTCCTTGGGAACGATTATGGCGTGATAGTTTAGTTTAGAGGCAATACAGTTGCTGCTGTTGAGGGGAGCTCGAGTATATGTTAGGATCCGGACATCGGCATCGAAGAGAGCTCGACAGTTGTCTACCCAAGGTGAGTGCCAGAGATCCAATGGTGAGAAGTGTAGAACACAACATACCCAATACCTGATCACGGTAATGCAGACAATCCATGGTATTGTCGCTTATCCCCGCTCAGGGGAATAACTGGTGTTGGAGGGATAAAAAAATGCGGGGTGAAGTTTATGCGTGTAAAAGCGAGACAGCAAACGGAGGTAAAGCAGTAGGCTGCGGTTCGAACTGTCACAGAGGTCCGAGGCAAATCTGGGTTTTTCGTTGGTATGGTGGGGAACTTAAAGAATGAACGAAAGAATCAAAGAACGAGGGGGAAGTAAAGTACAGTGCACCGAGTTCGAAGAGGGATGACCGTTCAGTCTTCTCCAATGTTTGCCTCTTCACTCTTTTCACTTCTTTTTGTCCCCCTCAGATATGCACTAACACACTGAACCCGTATTACGGAGGCAATAATAAAGCGGAAAGGGAAAGGGAAAGGGAAAAAACGCCCCAATTGTTGGACCTGTTGGTGGTGCCAAACTCGTCTGCCTAGCCAATGATGATGTTTCCCCACAGCCATTACACAAGATAAATGAGACACTGCAACCTCAAAATTTAACGCAAACTTGGACGGCAACAAAGACTAACTTTACTGCAAAATAATATGTTAACTTATCATCTAAAGTTGAATGTCCGAGACCGTAAGCCCTCACCCCCGACCATCATCCATCACTTGCAACACCGACAGTTCAATTTTTCCCCAATAGTGGCTTTTGATAACTTGCTGGCCTCTAGCACCTGTCGTAGACGGGGGAATACCCGTTATGATCAAATGGAGCAAACCGCAAAGAGAGAAATAAAAAGCTACCGTAATCCCATCTTATGCCACTAACAACGCGAGCAGCCATACGGTCGACTGCACCCAACAATGAGTCCAGCGATTTATTATGTTCCCCACCAAACGCTGTGATGATAGCTGGCACGGTAATACCAGTACCCTCTGTACCACAATAAATTAAAAAAATCTTTAAGCGATACACGGGAAGAGGCCTGGATCATCATTTATCAGGAACGGGAAGGTGTGCAGGGATCAGAGGGTTCCCTGTTCTGGATACTGACGAGCGGATGCGGACTTCGAAGAAGTCATAAATCTTGACGAGAAGCTATACAAGGGAGGGGCCAAATGTTTGAACCTACTCCCGCGCCGTTTGTTCGACTGCACAGCACAGCCACGGTTCTCATAAATCTACTCGAGTACGGTTGGCTTTCCTTGCTCCTCGGGAATGACACCTGCCAGCATGGGTGGCAAGCTTCTATCGCAATTTGTTTTACTGAATAATGGAAAGAGAGGGATAACGATGCCCCCCCACAGCCTAGTAGCACTTGAAAGGGCAATTGGAAATTTGCGGACGCGGCTGTGCGTCTAGGACGCTAGGTTGAGGTAGAACAAGAAACCTGGGTTGGGGAAACGTGCCGGCACATCCCAGTGTTATGGTGTTTCATCCTTCGGTTAAGAAATTGAAAATTATGAGTTTTCTTAGGGTTCTCGAACGATGGATTCATTCCGTGCGGGGTTCACAAAAAGAGTGAGCTTATATCCTGTACCGGTACTTGAATCATGGTGCCAGTACGGCTCCTGCAAAGGCACGCAAGGCACGGGTTGAATGTCGGGGTGACTTACCGTGTTCAGGGGAGATATTGGATCTGGCAGAGCAACATCACGAGGGTTGGAGGAGTTGGGTGATGGGTTGTGATGGCCTGGACAGAGAGGGAATGAGGCGGATTCCGGTTCGCTGGAGTTCGGTTCGGCACAAGGTTGACCAAGAATCGAAAGATATTTCCCTCGAGTCATGTGGTGAGAATATGGCATAAGTTGGGGAGGAAGGGAAATCAGGGCGGAGGTTTCCTCTAAGTGCTGTGTGCGTTCGTAAATAGGAACACGATAACTTGAGTTAAGGTTTAGTCTGCCATTCTAGTATATAATGGCAGTTGACCACACTTGCCCTTGTACTCGAGTAGCGCGGTCATTATTCTTAGATGGCGTGGAAGCTGGCCGCCATTTACTCGGGTATCATACACAGAAAATAGAAGTTCTGAAGAGTTGTATTTGTACTAGTACTTCTTAGTTCCTAGGTCTTAGAAAAAAAAATAAGGTTGAACATTGAATAAAAAGCATGGTTATGAGGTATCAAGCCCTCACGACTCCATGGCAAACAATTGCAGCCTGCAGTCTACTATGATAGGAGGGGGAGGGGAATTTTGCGCCAAGACTTGTTAAATATGGTGGTATTCGCAGCTCATGCTATTCCGAGTTTCAGAGTGCCTCTTTAGTCATGGCAGGAGTGAGATGGTACTTGTAAATGATCCGAAAATGTGTTCCCCACTGCTAAAATAACAGATAGAGAGCGGAGTAAGCAGCTCCTGGGACTGAAATATTTGCTAGTAAACCAACAGCTTCGCCGCCACTTGAGATACAGTTTTTCAAGGTACGGGGGAATAACCTACCAGATAATTAGCTTCTAGGGTGCAGAGACTGTTAAGGAATTGTAAATTTCGCAGTGCCTTCAGATGCACCTCCTAAATACCACTCTGTGGATGCAGAAATAGTCACTTCAAAATTCCCTTTTCCATGGATGAATCATTTGAGCCCCAGTAAAGCTTCCTATCACAAGACGGGATTTTGAGCGGTTGCCGGTGGCCAGCTTCCCCGTCGAGCACGGTGCTGTACGAGTGCATACAGTACTGCACGTTCTCAGGTTCATCAACCTAACAAGCTCAACCCGCGGACAATCGACAAGTTACCGCAGCAGACTTTATGATAATATGGTGGTGTATTCACTGCAGGGCCAAAATGTCCAGCAAAGGTTGTTCCCCAACCCGGGGCCTTGGCCCCCCAAGAATCATAGCGCAGAACTCGATTCGGTTGGGCTTCCAAAATCAGAGCAGCCCTGTTGTTTGTGGTGCTGCCGCTAACTGTCTCCAGGGTTCGCTCTCTCCCTGTTCGTGTCTTGCTGCGGCACCTTGCGGCCACGCAGACCTCAACCTAGCTTTTCTTTCTCTCCCCCCTTTCGATTCAGCACGAAGTTTTGCTGTCCACTCCTTTTTCCCATCCTCTTATTCACCACCTTCTCCTTTTCTGTGTGGGAAAACTTGACACTCGTTGAATTACTTGCCCCCTTTCTCCTCTTCGTTGCCATCTCCCTCTCCCTTAACCATCGGCGATACATCTGTCTATTTACCTCTGCAACTCGTCCCAAGCCCCTGTATTTGCAGAACCAATCAATCGTTTTCCATCATGAAGGGTACCTGCAGCTTTCCAGACTTGTTTCCCTGGGAAAAGGAGAGAATATTTGGCTAATATTGTTTGTTTGAATAAAGCCCTCATTCTTGTTGGTGGCTTCGGGACTCGTCTACGACCTCTTGTATGAATTTTCCCCATCCACCCGTCTAGCCTTCCATGGAACCATTCGTCCCATAAACCCGTACTTTCCCGTCATCCCATTTCATCCCGATGCTGTTTCGGTCGGTGCAAGATAGACGGCGGTGTGCCGTAGAGCTATGTAGTCCGCCGAGAATAGTCAGGTTGCTGACCGTTGCGACCGAAATGTCGTATTAGACTCTCACTCTCCCGAAGCCTCTGGTCGAATTCGGAAACAAGCCTATGATTCTCCATCAAGTAGAAGCATTGGCTGCAGCTGGCGTCACAGACATCGTTTTGGCTGTCAATTACCGCCCAGACGTCATGATTAGCGTCTTGAAGAAGGTGACCTAACCTCTACTAGCTCTTTTAGGGCATGCCTTACGAACTATGCTGACCGGACCTGGCGAGAAAGTATGAAGAGGAGTACAAAGTATCAATTACCTTCTCCATCGAGACCGAACCATTAGGGACTGCTGGTCCTTTGAAGCTTGCAGAGAAGATTCTTGGCAAAGATGATTCTCCATTCTTTGTCCTCAACTCAGATGTTATTTGCGATTATCCCTTCCACCAACTTGCCGAGTTCCACAGGTCGCATGGCCAAGAAGGGACTATTGTGGTTACAAAGGTCGAGGAGCCTTCCAAGTATGGTGTGGTGGTTCATCAGCCAGGTCACGCATCAAGGATCGATCGCTTCGTCGAGAAGCCCGTTGAGTTTGTTGGCAACAGAATCAATGCCGGTATCTACATCCTCAACCCCTCCGTCTTGAACCGAATAGAGCTCTGCCCTACTTCCATCGAGCAAGAAACCTTCCCTGCCATTGTTAAAGATGGCCAATTGCACTCCTTTGACCTTGAGGGATTCTGGATGGATGTAGGCCAGCCCAAAGATTTCCTTACCGGAACCTGCCTCTACCTCTCATCTCTTACCAAGAGGAACTCGAAACTTCTTACCCCCGCAGCAGAGCCGTTTGTCTATGGAGGCAACGTCCTCATCGATCCGTCAGCGGTAATTGGGAAGAACTGTCGTATCGGGCCAAATGTCACAATCGGGCCAAATGTCACTGTTGGTGATGGTGTGAGAATCCAGAGATCTGTCATCCTAAAAGAGAGTAGGATAAAGGATCACGCTTGGATCAAGAGCACCATCGTTGGTTGGAATAGCACTGTAGGAAAATGGGCACGTCTAGAGAATGTAACTGTTCTCGGTGACGATGTCACAGTTTCCGATGAAGTATACGTAAATGGTGGCTCTGTGTTACCGCACAAGACCATCAAGGCCAATATTGATAGTACGTTACCCATGTGAAGTCTCCGTTGGGAATCTGTTTTACTAACATGAGTTTTTAGTTCCGGCCATTATCATGTAAAAGTGCCTATCATCTTTTGGCTTCACGCGACTTTGAAGCGGTTTCATGATTCCTTGGATTGGGGTATTAGGGAATACAATCTCTACTCTTCTGTTTTGGATATGGTTAACGTTATTTAATCAACATTTGAAAATAAGAGATAATCAATGACTGAACGAAGAAAAAGTTTGTATAAAATTGAGCATTTTTCCACATGTCCGCTACGATTGTTGCCCGGAGGTGTCGTCAATGATTTGGGGGGACACTTTTGAAAGTAAATAATCGGGCAAGATTTTGAAGAATAGAGCAAAGGTCTCAAGTCATGGAGCATGATGTGATTAACGTGGAAACGGGTTCGGACTCCCAGACAATCGGGTAGCCAGACGCACCGGTGCCGTGATTGATGCCATAGGGGTGCGCTATTAGGGAGGTTTTGCATGCAGTATAAGATAACGACAACGACCGAGCCTTGGCGCCGAGGCTGGGGCTGGTAGTTCTCTAATTCCGAGTGACGGAAGTAAATATAATAAATTCTCTAACTAGAGGGAAGCATTCTATCAGGCTCTCTATCCCAAGGTGTTATGTTCCATGAAGTAAGCCAACCCAATTTAAAAAACAACAAACCAACAAAACAATAAAAGCAATCAAAACAATCAAAACAAAATTTCAAATCAAAACCCTTATGCTGCAGACCTGCTGCAATATCTCTCCCCTCTCTTCTCCAACCCTATCTCCCGCCACACATCATTCGCCATTCTCATCCTGCATTTCCTCTCCGTCCTCCAATGTTTCCTTCTTGTCCCCTGAGACTGGTACATCCTTTTGCAATACATACAAGCTCCAGCCCCTTTAGTCCAACAAATCTCTGTCCACTTCAATGCAATTTAATGCCTCCTCTCTTCACTCATCTAGTTCTACTCCTCTCACATCCTTCTCAAATAATCCTCCGCCACCGCCTCATCACAATCCCTCTGTCTCCCCAGGTACGCTCTCAGCCCTGACCTGTCCGGCCTCTTATTGCTTCCCCTATTGAATTTCCCCAAGCAAATATCACACCTGGCCTTATTACCGTCTACAAAAAAGATTCTCCCTTTATCCATTCCCACCTCCAACATGCATTTCCCCCTGTGGGACTTGTTACATTTCCTGCACAACCCTCTTCCCATCGGCACCACTACATCCATCCCATTTTTTTCCACCATTAATGTATGGTCAAATGGGTTCCCGTATTTTACTCTCGTTCCTATTTCATTTGGGACACTCGATGGTAATCCCATCCCAAGTATTTGTGCCTTACCTACTACCTCATCCACTTCCCAATGTGTTCATCCTTGTTTAAGGTCTACCTCTCCGGTCTTTCATCCCTGTACTTCTCGTATTCCACTGTGTGGAATCGTACATCACGCCCCTTACAATCCTGGTGGTCCCCTTTCAATCTCCCTTGCCTTATTCTCATGAGCACATATCCATCCAGCCTTCTTAACTCCCGGGGGTGTTTCTTCTCTCCTGGTCCCTGTTTATAGTAATTATGGCCCTCCTCCTTGTGCCACTCCTCCCATTCCTCCTTCTTCATCCCCTTTATCATCATTCCTTCCCCTGTTCTAAACTCCATTCCTTCTCACAGTTTGGGTATTACCATTCCCTCTGCCACCCCTTTTGCAACCTCATCAACCACTTCATTGAGGTATATTCTCTCGTGTCCGGGTATCCACATGAAGTCTATTTTCTCTATGCTTCTCTCTGCTCTTGCTAGGGTTCCCCATATCTCTGCTGTATTACCCTCCTCCTCCATTCCTCTCAGTGCTTGCAAGACTCCTCTCGAGTCTGACATCACTGCAACTTCTCTCTTCCCCATGCATCTTACCTTCCTTACCCCCATCATTATTGCCACCATTTCTACCCTCACGATGTCTCATTCTGGTGGCAACACTTCTACCTTCTTTAATACCACCTCACTGTCCCCTTCCACCAACATCCAAGCTGTTCTGCACCCCTTTCCACTCTTAGATCCATCAGTATACACTGTTGTGTATCCCGGGATCAATGATACTTCCTTTTCTACCTTTCTGTATCTTCTCAACGCACCCTCCTTGGAGTCTCTAATATCAAAACTAAGGTCCAACTCTATTTTCTCTTCGCTCCTCTGTACCAGTTCCTCCATGCCCTCAAATGTCCATTCCCTCCTGATGCATCCGTGCCATGGATTCTCCTTCTCGTATCCCCTTCCCATCATCCTCTGGTAGTACTGCCTCTGTACATACCTTCCCTGTACTTGTACTGGTGGTATTCCTGTTTATGCCAGCAGTATATTGTTGGCTATTCTCAAAGGTGCTCTCACCACTGACCACAAAGTATTGTTAACGTGTACTTGCAGTCTGTTCACCAGATTCCGGTCATCCATCATGAACTCTAGTCCATAATATACCATCGGTAGGTATGCTCCCTCCACTAGCCTCAATGTTTCCCATGCCCCAATATTCCCGCTGCTTCTGTATCTCCCCAATAGCGCAGCTATCCTACTTAATACACACACCCCCTGGTCTACCCAGTAGGTCATGTGGTTCTCCCATCCACTTCCTTTCGTGAACCTAGTACCCTAGTATCCGCATTTTACTGACCGATCCTACCTCCTGACCTTTGAGGTTGATGCTTCCCCAATTCTCTTCCCCAAACCCAATCCAATTTGTCTTGGCTGGTGTGAATGACATCTCTCTTTGCGATGCTACCCCATCGCATAACCTGAATATTTTCTCCAGGGCTTTCCTTACAATCTCTCTCCCTTTTTCTGCTACCATGATCATTCTATTGTCCACATAGCTCGACACCATGTACCTCAAATCGGGTGTATAGTATAGTCTTGATTTGAAGATGTCAGCCACGAATGCACTGAACAGGAATGGCGACAACGGCAATCCCTGCGGCGTCCTGCAGTTTGTGTTGTAATACCCGCTCATCTTCCCGTTGAATCGGAATCTGATCCTCCTACACGCTGTCCACCTCTCCATCCAGCTGCATAGTTTCTCCTCTGCACCTCTCTCTTTCAGGAATCTTAACAGCTTCTTGGTGTTTATCTTGTCAAATCCCCTTCCACATCCATCGACAGCGCTGCGTATTCTATCCTCTCAGAATACTTGAAGAATTCGCACATTTCCGCGGCCATGTCATGGTAAGATCTCCTCTTCCGTGATCTATACTGGGTTTCCTCCAGTTTCAACATGCTCTCCAACCTTCCCAGGATTACCCTTTCCGCCACCTTGGCAAGTACTAGCAACGGGTATATCATTCTCCAAGACTTCATCCTCCGGTAGTCATCCTTCCCCGCCTTGGGTATCGGGATTGTTTCCACCACGCCCCAGTATTCACACCCCTCCTCCATCAGGTGATTGACCATTTCCATTATCCTCTTCCTGTCTTTTCTAAA